AAAGAAAAAAAAATAACTATTATAAATACCAAATAATTTGAAATGCTTAGTGGTTTATTGTAATAATATAATAAACTCTGGTTAGTATTAAACATTGCATTTTGTACGAATTACAACCCAGTACGCACTTTTACATAGGACTGTAATCATTTATATTTAGTGTATATGCTGCATAAAAATTAATATATTTTAATTGAATATATGTCAGAAATAATTAATATCTGGGTTAAAAAAATGTCAGCTTATCCAGTGGTCGAGAAAGATTTAAAACCTACCCTTTTATTTTTTTCTTGTTATAAATGTATTTATTCAATTGTCCATTGTTAACGTGGGTTCCAACGCACTGAACAAATAGCAGCTTATGCATAGACTTTTAAGCGCTCGTGCGTTTTACAACGCCTAACTACACAATCGATTATGCAGTAGGTATCATATAATATTGTATAAATAAAAATGTAAAATAAGTACCTACCTTTTTTCTTTTTTTTAAATTTAAACTTTATTAAAAAAAAAATATTTGCTTTATACTATATAAGTGTTGCACTTGGAAGGTAAAATAGATTATATTTATATTTATCTAATTTTTGCTTATGTTCCAATATAATAGTATATTTAACTTACCAAGCACTTTATTCTTCCTCGGCAATAACTATTATTACCTAGGTACGTCATAAATCAAAGGTAGGTGTTGTTCGCGCTCGAAGCTCCGAACATTGACTTTTTGTTTGAGTGGTGACTTTGACGCGTATCACCTACATCCCCGTCATATACCTACTATAAGTACTAGTACCTACTAGAGCCCTATGGTTATCTAGATATCCTATGGTAAACTAGATTCCCTGTAGATGCCATAAGATTCAAAGGAAGCAGGGTAGTATAGAGAAGTATATATTCTAACTATGACGGCAAATAGTCTTCTCTTATGCTCGCTTGCCTTTCAGAGGATAGAGGTAAGGCAGAATGATGCTCAAAAAGAATTGCTTGGTGACTTTTGCTGCTCCTTCCGTAACCAGTCACGTAGTCCATGAATTTTAGCTTGGGGTCTAATTGTACCTCAAGGTATCGTGAGCTACAGACCGATGGTATGAAATGTCCACAATGGCCCCCTAATAAGATCCTTTTCGGTACACCCCTGTTCACGGTGTTACGTTTCATGTTGATTAACATGACCAAGGTGATTATTTCCACACCGAGCCACTAACTGTACTCACCCATCCACTTCGTGAATCGGCTGAACGCATCTTCCAAGAGTTTTTCTGCTAGGTGACAGATTTTTGCAGTGGCCACAAATCACAATGACAATGTGCCAACGTCATCACTCATCAGCGAAGGTTAACAGTTCAACGTCCTAGGAGATAGATGTAAATGGATGATAACTCTAGAATCAAAATTTACTATTGGTACCTAGAATTGTCAAAAAATGCATAAATGTGTTAAGCCAATCTTTAAAAACCGTCAATTAGGGGACTGTATGACAGGGTGTAGGCGGTTTGGGTGGATAAAAAGTTACATTTCGTTAATATCTATGAAGGTTTACTTTACGACAATATTAAGGCATAGATTGTACAATATAATTTTAATGAATAGAAAAAAATATATATTATCAGTAAGTAGGTAATTTACATGAGTAATAATGAAAAATTATTCTGATTCAAGTTGATTTGAGTTTTCAGTGAAATAAATTTTCCTTGAAATTATGTTATTTGTTAGGTAGGCACTTAGGTTTTTCGGAGGGAGGAATCAACATCTCCACATGGTACGGTAGAGACGTAGAGTGTAGAGTGAATAAAATATGTGGACAGTGAAACTGAAATGTTCTTATCTAACCGTCGAAAATCAGAACCCAGAACTTGATATCATATTATTATAATATTATATTAACAAAGTAGAGTTCGTTCTACATAATTTATAACTATTTTTTTGTAAATTGTAATCATTGTTAATAGATTGATACAATTATTTTTTAAAGTGAATTCTGTCAATTCTGAATAGACTTGAACATGTTTCACGATATTTCAATATCATATACCTAACTTGGTAGGGTACTTAAAAATCACAATTTATTATTTAATTAAACTGGTTGAAAATGAGAATTTTAATAATAAATTGAGGCGAGTAACATTAATCTGTCGTTAATATTTATGAAAGTTAAGTATGTACGTTAGTTTTATAATATTTTAATAATAAACTTAGGCATGTATTTTAATTGAAGAAGTTTTAATTGATATTTAATGTTTTAAAGTTTCTTGATAAAATTTTCCTTGTGGAAATATACATTGCACAAATAAATATAGGAATTTACCTATAAACGAAAAACTTTTCTATTTTTTTATCTTAAAATAATAGAATCGGGGGCAACAACCACTCGTTGTCTAGTGTCAGTTACCTATAACTTAAACATATACAGAAGCAAATTCAGATATAAAGGGGGCATTCTCCACTCTAAAATTATAGTTTCCCTGTTTTCCATTTTCACTGCAGTGCAGTAGTGGATCGTGGATGTCTGTAGTGCCCCTAGCAATCGATGTTGTAAATTGTTATATTCTTTTCCCTCCCCCCTCCAAAAAAAATTAATTAATCATTGGATTCGCCATTGAGTCGAACGGCCACCCTATAAACACTTTATGTGTTGAATTTGAATTCGTAACCGTATGGTTCAACATTGTTATGATGTATACCCTGTTTCAAAAGAGAACATACCAGGCGGCCACGGGCAAAACCGGTTTTCTTATGTAAATCTGGTACATTCTCTTTTGAAACAGTGTATAACAGGTAATAGGGATATGGATTTTGGCTATTTGCATGCCACACAATAATTCATTTTTTTAATATAAAGTAGGTACACAGAATTAACCCTTTTGAAAACAATATAGGTATACATATTTATAACGGATATTTACAAGAATTATGACAACAATTTATTAATAGCTAAACAATTATTACATACAAATATTCAGAAGATTCACATTGACATTGGTCATTATACGTCTAATAGGTTCGTTTTGAAGGTAGTTGGTGGTGGCAATAGGAACAACAAAAGGAGCAACAGAGCTAGAAGAATTCTGAGGTACTTTAAACTTTAGAATCTAGAACTTATTAAAGAAAGTAATTCAGGAGAGTCAATGCTACTTTGTAACCGGCGCTAGGGTGGACAAATGGGACAAATGTCCAGGGCCCCGCTATTATTAATCATCATCATAATATCGTAAGATACATTGACATTTTACATAATTACTAATTAGGTACATAAACAAATTATAAATCTATAAATGTATTATTCTATACTACACATCGTACAATATGTATTATATTAATATTATTCCTATCACCAGTTATTTGGAAAACGATATCTAAATCTAGCCAAAAAAATTTAGCTTAATTTTAACTAAAAGGTAAATCGTTATAGGATCCCTACAATAAATATTTATTATCTCTATAGTTATTGTCTCTGTTCTTTATTTGGAAAGGCTTTCCGCGTACTGCCATACGTCCGTATGGCAGTATTATAGAAGTGACATAAGAGCTACCTATATTCTTAAAATATATATTTGATTAGGTATCTAAAATTCATATATGTTCTTACTTCAATTATATAATATTTGATATTTATTATTAAAAAAATCTAGAATTGTACCCTCCTCTGGGGTACCTAATGGTTAATACCTTGTTCAGGGCCCCACAATACCTCGCGCTGCCACTGTTTGTAACAATCCATCCAAGAACTTAATGCCTCAAGTACGTCTTGGCTCCGCCAAGGAAACGAAAACAAGTAGATTCGCAACAGGTTCATAGTCGCAGGGTTTACAAGTGATAATCAATTTTTTTAAACTCTTTCCGCCTTCAAGAAGTCACTTATATTGAGAGCCGAGAGCATCCAGATAACGGCACCATACTCCACAATATAGCACCCTTAATGATATGCCTAACCGAATATCTCTACATAATATTAAGCCGAACCCAAGGGTTTCAAAAGCTTTACAACAAATATGTTTAATGTGGAGACCTGGATCAAGATTAGGTACTATGAAGAATAAAACTTGATCTTAAATCAGTCATTAGAACATAAAATAATAGTGGCACCATAATAAAATAATCTAAACATAATCATTAATCACATTTAATTCACAAATTAAAGATTTTTTTACTGAATAAAAGGAAACCGGCAAGGTTTACTCATTTTTTAATAGAAATCCTTCAAAATTATAATTAATATAAATAGGCAATAATTTAACATACACACTTGGAGTACAATGGTTCATTTTCTATATAGTATTACTCATAAGAATGTTATTTATAATGATTAATGAATGTAAATAATTAAATAATAATTAAATTAAGTCCTGGATAGGGTAATTAGATAAATATATAATAGATACAACCCGATCGATCAACAAGTTAACTTCATAAAATCATAAGCAATTGAAATGTTTTCCGATGTATTATGTCTTATTGGTACAATTGACAACAAGATAGGTGTATTTTAATAAAAAAATAACTGTCAGTATTACACCTCCTTAAGTCAAAATTATAATTTCATTTGTGTAAATAATTGATTATGTAATAAAATATTCAGTGCATAAACACTATTTAATTGTACAGAATTTGATATTAATTAACTTATTTCAAAACTATAAGCAGCAATCATTTTGGTGCAGGTGACACTCCCGCAACCGCTGACCAACTCTAATCCTAATTTCATCCGAACAACCATTTGATAAGCAATATAAAAATAACTTCAGGAGTTATATTGCAATATACTCGCATATCTGGATTTTAATTGTTTTAATATATTTATATTTTTCTATGTTTAAATCAGTTTTACTAAATACTAACACTATTCAATCATTAAAATTATAGATGTTGTCAGCTGATATAATTAAGAATATGTTCAATTATATTTTACACGACTCCTGTATCTATATGTTCTGTTGTAACTAAACATAATACTAAAACAATACAAATTGACAACCAACACTAATATAGTAGTATAGTACTCACAGTTCAATAATTACAAGGTATGTTTATTAATATTTTTTTTTATTCTTCATCTTCAGATTAATGACTTACATATTATGACAACTATATTTTCTATAGAAGCAGCCTTTAAAATTATTAATACAGGAAAATAATCCTTAGTCATTTATATCGTAATATATACATTTAACAGATATAAAAACTTACATAAATCATATTGATAAATTATGTGAACAAAACCATTAAGATTTAAATAAATACATATAAAAAATTAAAACCCACTCTTAAATCTTTAAAAAATGATTTCTGGAAAATCCATAACTGGCAATGAAGGAAAGGAGTATTCGACTTCTGGTTCTCCTAAAAAAAAAATGATATGTACAATAATATAAATCACTAATCAGTAACATTGGCTTAGTGTAGATTTAATACCTTCACCAGTTAAAAAATAATTAATTCTGGTAAACGCAAGTTTATAAAACTATTTAAGGGGCTTGGAGTAGAGAATGTTTTAAGGAATAATATTTAGGTTGTTTATATTACTTGTACATATTTATGCCATATAACTGTGTTATTGTGTGAATAGTAAATGAATACATAAGTGTAAACATTACTGTTCATTATCGATCAGCAAGCTCATAACCGTAATAGATCGTCCTAACCTAACTCCAAGTCTAACACACATGCATGTGCAGGATCCCAAATTTAATTTTTGACATTTTTCCATTTTAAAATCAGTGCAATATATCTAAAAGAGGAAGATTTATTTTGGTACATTGAACCAATTTAAATTTTGAAAAAAATATCTATATTTGATAGCTTTTATATTAGATTATCTAAGAACAATAATTGACGACATTATAGAATTATATGAATTTGTAAAAATAAAATAACTTTTTTTAAAGTCTTATGAATACAAAAATCAAACATGTATTTCCTACAGAACCTAGGAAAAAGAGATGAAGAATTCATACGTCAATTTAAAACAATAATCACAAATACGGAAGTATGTAAGCTACTAATTTCAACCATTATATTTGTTAGACTAAAACGACAAAAAATATGGCTTGCTCCAACCACCTTAATTATTAACTGTTCCCAAAACAAAAATGACATACACAATACTAACATAAAATTAAAACTATATGTAAATTTCATAATCTCAAATCTTTACCAAAATTATCAAATTGATTTTTGATTTGTTCAATCATTATTGAATGATAGTCTTCAAGAAAAAAATCCCTTGGGTCATTATTATTGCAACTAAAAAAATCACTTAGCATTCCTATGTTACAAGTCATACTTGAAGGCAGGGCATCTGTAAAACATAAAAGAATAAGTAGTAAAAAGTAAATACCACAATGCATATTAATATATTAGATTCTTAGCAAAACAAAGAATGTTTAAGCTTATGTTTTTATTTTATATTTTAAATTCACCAATATATTACATAAGAGACCTACAAAATAGGCTCCAAAAGTTACAAGTAACTGTCAAAACCAATTTGGTTGATACTTGTTTTCAAAAACAAGTTGTAATTTGTAATTTATTAATGTATTTCAACTAAACTTAACTCAAAATTGTTTTCAATGATTGCTTTAAAAAATGTAAAGATTATAATTCAGATAAACTTGGTTGAATATTATACTCGTTTGTTGCAAGATCTCAACTTGTATTTAGAACAAGTCTATACTCCATTCAAGTTAAGGAGGAACCTAGGCGGACATTTGGGCACATGGGCTCAACCACACAGATAGTTGACTCGGTGAGGATAACAAATGAGTGTAGACTGGACCTCCACCAAGACAAAAACTTATAACCGAAAAGGTTCCTTCTTAATTTGAATGGAGTATAATCAGTTTTCTATGTTAATCTTCATATGTAAATCTCATTAAAATTCAACATAATTTTTTTAATTAGTAGGTATGTTAGGAATAAATTAAAATGAAAAGGAGTGTACCGAAGAGGATTTTATTTGGGAGTCAAAATTGGCAGTTTGTTTAACTCAAAAAATTGTTCAGAGACAGCTTGCTTATGTTGTCTTGTTGGAGTTATTTCATCATTAGGCTATTTTTACATTTTTATTACACATCCCTCGGTTGTTTGGTACACAATAAGTATCTATATCTTATCTCCTATCAATGCGTCTATCTTAAAAGGAATATTGGGCAATCATATTAAAAATTAATTATACCAATATCTGCTGATCACATGCACAAATATACAGTTTAAGATTTAAACTAAAGGATAATTTTTATAAACAAATATGCTATTGGGTAAATATTATGTTTGTCTTTTAGCATTTTGTTTATCTTTATCAATTCATTGCAATATTTTTGTACATATTTACAGAAGAAAATATAAATCGAAAAGAGTTAAAAATACTGACAATTTGAAAACCATAGTAACCAGGATAATTATTAATGTATGACATACACAATGTAACAAAATTTACAAAAATTTATTCCTTTGGTAGATATTGAAAAGTAATTTTTGGTGTACAGTAAAACTTCCTAAAAGACCCCTTGAATGATGAAATCTTGTTACAACGGAAAATAACAAAACAGGCCATAGTAATATATACCATATATTTTAGTTTTCCTTGTTGGTACAGAGCCATTTCGTTACAAGGAGTTTTTACTATACAAGAATATCAAGTCCAAACCTTTCAAATTTTTCTAAAAACGGTTTGCCAAAATATATGCTCATACTTATATAATCTGTTAGTTGGTTGCAACTTATGAAATGTTATTTTAAAACTTCATACATTTTTATTTTACATCTTAAGCTCTAATTTTTTTTGATTACCTAATTGATATTAATACTTAAAAAAAAAACATATGATACTTTACTATACAACCCAATTTAATTTAATTTACCATACCCAACTAAAAAAGTAATAAATTAATAATTACCATTTTCCAGTGTTGTACAGTCATAATGATCAAACTCTTCATCTTGATCATAGGTAAAATCTTGTAACGGAGATTTACATTTTATTTCTGTTTCAAAATTTTTCATGGGCAATACCTTCAATTGTTTAAGACCTTTACCATCAGATTTTTTGGTTGACTGTACTGTGTTTGTTAACACTTTCAAAGCAGTTTTCTTGCGATTTGTTGCTAAACTATTCTCTAAAAAAAAAATAACAAAAAAATAATAAACAAGCAATTAACAAAATAAGTTATCTGATTTGTTTTTAATCAATAGGTACTGTAATGTAAAAACTTACTTATATTTTTTATAGGGTTCTCGTTGTTTATGGAAGTCAATTTACGAACACGAAAAGTATTTGAAGACATGTTGTAAGTTTTTACTAGCGCTATATAACGGAAAAAAGTTTAATACAATACGAATAGTTTATTGTGTGGTAGCGTGCTTCGTGTACTGAAATAGTTGAAATTTTGAATTGTGTGAAGAAAACGAAAGACGAACGAACCACGAATGAAAATGAAGTATGAAATATGGACTATGAACTATGGAGTATCGAAGCGACAAAAATACATTAATTGTGGGTTTTAACTTTAATAAGTTGTATTCAACAAAATAACCTGCAGGCTACTAAAATAGAATAAAATCGACAGAAAATTCAATGGTTATGATCCCAATAACTATTATATTATGTTATATTCTAACGGACAAAATATAAAAAAGATAAACTATTAATTAATCACAGGGATATCAGTAAGTTATCAAGTCACGACTCTCGCTGACTACAGTGTGTCTCATTGTTAATATTATTACAATATTAAATTATTTCTGAAAGTGGATGATGTTATCATAGACAATATCATTTTGTTTAATCTATTTTGTTATCAATAAAAAAAAATCAAGTCAACAACGCCAGCAGCTTCAACCACAGATAGATAATAATTATTAATTGTATTTAATTAGAGTATTTGCTAAACAACAAAATTTAGTATTCACTTCAATAATTGCAATATTTAATATAAGTATATAACATCAATCTTTTTTTTACTTTCTAGACTACCTATAGCATAACTATAATTTTTTTATATTTCAGTTATCATCTTGGATTTATATTTTATGAAATCTAGATTCTAGACAGAAGTTTTTAATTTTTAAAATTAAAAGTGTTATGCTAGTCATCTAATGTGAAAAGAAAATGATAATATAATTTACAATGTATTGATTTTTTCATGTTACTTCAATCATTTATAATCATGAATTAGAATCTACATTTTAGAATGTCAAACATTTTTATTAACTAATTAAAAAATGGACAGTTTCAAAATGAAATATGAGGTAACTTATTTCCACATTTATTTGTTTGATATTTATTTTGGACAATTCTTATTAATATAGATTTCTGAATAATAATCTATTTATTTATATTATTTTATATACATCATACGTTACACAGAAAAATTGTTTAGAATCCTGTTATTAAATCAAATTTTGATTCGCATTCCTCTTTGTTGATAGATTTATAGTTTTCAAACAAATATTATTTTGTTGAACTTTAGTCTTTATATTTATTGATACATGTTAGTAATAAAATGTTGTAATTTTATAAAGGTACCTGGAGGTATTACCTCAATAATGCCAAGCATTCCAGCAGATTTATTAAGTTATATAAATTGTATAGAAAGCATGCCAGTTTATAAAGGTGAATCAATTCTACCAAAAAGAGATGTAAATTTACTATCCTTGTATGCTGATAATAGTATAAACTATATGCCAACTAATTTAATAGTAAGTATATAAGCATATTAAGTTACTACTTACACATTTTTAAACAAATACTAAATAATAAATTATCTACAGCCTGAAAGAGATCCCAAAACTGGTAAAATTATTTGCTATGAAGAAGTTATTAATGATCCAGTTTTTCAATCTGATGGTAATTCAATACCTTGTCTAAAATCAATGAACAATCAATATACTGTCAACCAACATGAAGATAACATGTTTCAATTTCAATTTGATCCTAGTATGTACCTATATTTATATTTTCAAAGAACTATAATTTACCTATTATGTATTGTTTTCTTAGATGATTTACCAGTTGCTCCAGGAATGTCAAATAAATTAAAAATAAACCAAAATGATCAAAATACATCTGTAGACATTTGTGCCATTGCCACAACAGTAGACAATGAATGGACTGAAGATGTAGGAGGATTTTGGGATGATGAAGTACCAGAAATAGTAAGCCAGCCAGATACTACACCAGAACCAATTGCAGTAGATGAAATAAATCACATTAAGGTAATTATTAATATTTTGAAGATATTTGAATCTAAAAATGTTTAATCTTGCTTGATTTTCAATAGAAAGATGATAATTTTGTGCTTAAAATTTCTGGAAATGCAGAAAGAGTACTAGTGAAATCTAAGTGGGTTGAAGAATTAGATATTTCAAAACCAATTGATAACTTTGACGAGTTATTACCTGATCCTGCTTATAAATGGGAATTTGAATTAGATACATTTCAAAAACAAGTAAGTATTATATAAATAATTTAATTTGAAAATTATATGATTATATAGTTTTTGAGGATATTTAATACATATTTATGCATTAATTGAATATACTGTTATATAATATTTTATATTATTTTATTTTATAGGCAGTACTAAAATTGGAAGAAAAAAGTAGTGTATTTGTAGCAGCTCATACATCAGCAGGTAAAACTGTTATTGCAGAATATGCTATAGCACTTGCTAAAAAACATCAATTAAGGTAAATATTTTATCATATACACTATCCTTATTATATTTATTCATCAAAAATGTTACTAATATTACATTGTATGTAATACATAATAATAATTTAGATGCATATATACATCTCCAATTAAAGCACTATCCAATCAAAAATTTCGAGATTTCAAAAAAAAATTTGGAGATGTTGGTCTTATTACAGGAGATTTTCAAGTGAAACCAGAAGCTCAATGTCTTATTGTTACCACCGAAATACTATGTTCAATGCTATATAGTGATTCAGATAAAATTAAAGAAACTGAGTTTGTTATTCTTGATGAAGTTCATTATGTAAACGATAGAGATGTAAGTAGTCTAGTAAAATATACTTTGTTATTTAATGATTATGTTTGTTAACAAATATTATATATTTTATTTAATAGAGAGGACACATTTGGGAACAAATTTTAATTATGCTACCTAAACGTGTAAAATTAGTTATGCTGAGTGCCACCGTCACTAATGTTATTGATTTTGCCAACTGGATCGGCCGTACTCGTGATTCTAAGATTTATGTTGTATTTACTCTTTATCGGCCAGTTCCTCTTGAACATTATCTTTATATTGGGTCAAATACATCTATGGAAATGAAGGACAATATGCATCTAATTAGAAAAGCAGACAGTGGGTTTCTCATTCAAGGGTATGTATATTATACGTCATTAGTATGCATAAATATAAACACTAAATTGGTTTTTTAAATACATTTATAGCTATCGTAAAGCTTCAGATCTATTAAAAAAAAACAAAGAAGTAAAAAAATATCAAGAATCCAAGAGTTTCAAAGATCAAAAACCAAAATGGGTCAATTTCTTGAGATTTCTTGACAAAAACAATTTGTTTCCAGCTGTTGTTTTTATTTTGTCCAGAAAAAAATGTGATATGATGGCAGAGTCTTTAAAAAACTCCGTCAACTTTCTATTAAATAATAAAGAATCTCAAGCTAATGAGTATTTTTTTAATGATGCGATAAAAAAATTAAAACCTGAAGACAGGGCTTTACCTCAAGTAAATATCAATGTTTTTTAGTTAGTACTTTTATTTTAAAGTTTAAACAATAAATTTAATATCAAGTGCTCTATTATTTTTAGGTTGTTTTAATGAAAGAATTATTATGTCAAGGCATTGCAGTTCACCATAGTGGAATTTTACCCATACTAAAAGAAATAGTAGAAATGCAATTTCAGAAAAGTTTAGTCAAGGTAATTGAAAAACCAAAAACAAAAGTTTTTTATTTTAATAACATATTGAATAACTTTACAGTGTCTATTTGCCACCGAAACATTTGCGATTGGTATTAATATGCCAGCTAGAACAGTGGTATTTGATGCAATTAACAAATTTGATGGTATAGAAAAAAGAAATTTAGCACCAGCTGAGTACACTCAAATGGCAGGACGCGCAGGTCGTCGGGGTCATGATGATAGTGGTACAGTAATAATAATGGCAAATGATCAATTACCTAATGACAGAGAATTAACAAATATGATGCTAGGTTAGTTTTTTATCAAAAAAATAGATATATGGAATCATGTTTAACCAATTTGAAAAATATTAACATTTTTTGTAGGTAAATCAGCTAAATTAGAATCTCAGTTTAAAGTCAGTTATTCTATTATATTGAATATGTTTAAAAAGAAAAATTCTGAAACTCTAGAAGAAATTTTAGGTAGTAGTTTCATTGAAGCTGCTAGAGCTAAAAAAAAAGATGAATATACTGAAGAATTAAATTCTTTAAAATTAATACACGGAAATGATAATTGGGAACCAACAGGAAAGCAAGATATAACGGTAAAAGAATTCTATCTTTGTGCCAAAGAGTATTTAGACTGCAGAAATGAAGACTGGGTAAATAAGAATATAAATTTAATTTTAAAAAAGGTTAACTAATAATTAGTTTATTTCTTCTGAAAACCAATAGAAATGTGCATGCTCTTAAATATGTTCATTTTTAATCAAACAATAAGTTTTTGTTTGTAAAAAATATTGATAAGTCGATAGTTTATACAATTTTTAATATTTGAACATAAAAACTTCCAATTTTGTATATAAAGTTTAAATATTTTTTTATTAATATTATCGACTAGTATAAATGATACCTATAGTTATAAATAATTTAGTTATTATTTTATATGTTTTAAACATACATGTATATTTTTTTGTTATATTTTATGTTTATTTATAAAGAAAAATGTTGAACATTAAAATTATAACTTTAGGATAAACTTTATGCTGCAAGTGATAAAAGTTTTAGCGAAGTTGGTAGATTTGTCATTATTACACACCAACATTATATTGGAAATTTAGCTATTATATTATCAAGCAACACAAAAAAAATTCCAAGAGAATTTCGGTAAATGAATATTTTAACATTTTTATAACATTCTTATATTTAGTGATTATTTTTACATTAAACACTCATTATCTCAAAAAGTATAAATATTTTTTACAATATTTGTTTATAAAATTTGAAATTAATATTAAAAAACCCTATTGTTGAATGGAACTTATGGTCCTTATAGTTACCTTGACTACCTATAAATTTTTTGGTGATAACAGATATCATGACTATCCAATTATTGAATTTTTGGAGGCATTTGTAAAGAAACTTAAAAATGTTTAATAAAAATAAAGATATAAACATGTTTGTACCTATGGGGTTTTGAATGAGTATTTAATTTGCTATAAGTTATAAGTATTTAAACAAAAAAGATGAATGGAATGGTATGGGATACTTTGCAAAATATGTTCCATCTGAACACTAAATTCTTTTTGCTACTTGTTTAAAATTAAATTTGTATACATGAAAATCTCAGAAATATAAATCAAAGATGTGTTCTCATTTCTAAAAAAAAAACAACTTAAAAATAGAAGAAAAATATAATTTTTTTCATTCATGGTTTGCAATAACCAGGTTTTGTAAAAATTGTACAAACATGTTTATACATTTAAAGGTAATGAGCCAACTTTCAAACCACTTGATATCCAGTTTATAAACTTGTAACTTTTTTTCAGAGTATTGGTATTAGACAATGATAAGGTAAATAATGAAGAATCTGAAAATAAAAAGGATTCTTGGTATAAATTTATTTACTTATCTAAAAAAAGGAGAGTATTAGATAAATCATTAGATGTAATTTCTAATAATGCTCATACCATTTTAACTATATCTTCAAATTCAATATTTGCAATCACTAAACTTTCTGGTAATTTTGATAATGACTCAATTATAAAAAATTGGGAAATGAGACAAAATGAACGTTTCAGGTATGTAAAATAAAATCTTATTTTTAATATATGTTAATTGTAGTAAATAGTTATATTCATAAATTATCATAATCAATCATTTAAACATATTATTTAGAGATGCAGCTATTTCTACACACTGCCTGAGAGCCATTACAATGCTATCCGAAAAAACCTTACTTTTAAATCGAGCAGAAAATGATGATTCAGTACTAAGTTTGTTAGAACTAGGAATTGATAATTTTGAATTACACCGAACTATGTTACACATGCATGCTTTGGAAAATCGAGTGTACAATATTGAATTGTCTGACATTATTGCATTTGAAGATGTTGTAAGTGTGTTTTTTATACTAATGTTATATCTATTGGAATAATTTTTGTTAATAATAGTTTATTAACAATAATTTATATATGTAAACAAGATAATATGTAAATTCATGTATGATATGAATGGATGTACAGATAATTTAGATAAAAAAGAAACTTGAAATATTTAACCCAATACACTATAATTATACCAATTGAGAATGCACTTTTACCAAACCTTTTTAAGAGTACCAATGCAGCAGCACAGTATTTGTTTTCTCTCTAATCCACAAATAATACATCAACTTTGTGTTCAGCAGTATCTATCTTGTGTTGTTAGCTTTAGCACAGATTATATAATTTGTGGCTTTAGTATTAGAATAGCCTATTATTAAACTTAAGAATATTATCTGTGTCTTTTTTATGATATTTCAATTTTTATGCAAGTTATGAGTATGTAGAATACTACAATTTTTAAATACTCAAATATTGTAAAAAGAAGCAAACCTACTAACACAAATTATGTTTTCAGTGCAGTGGTGTGATGACAAACAAGGTTTAGGACGCCTAGGTGTCAAGGTGAAAAAATGTTGTGGGGGGTAGGGTGGTTGGATACATTATGGTAACCTATAACATAAAACAAAAATTAAAATATTTACAGTCACATAATAATTATTTATTATACTATATTTTATAAAGAGTGGGTAGGTACTGAAAAATATGCTGCGCATCATGGTTTATAAATGTACTGTATCAATGTACCAAAGATAATAACACTAGATTGGTTTTTCTAAATACAAAGTTGTGTAAACTCTTGTTAACTTGCGGGTAGATAGCTTCAAGGTCTAAGCGGTCGATTAACTTAGTGGTAGAGCAATCGTGAGACTCGGGTTCGATTCCCGGTCCGGCAGCTTGCTTTTTGACGTTATTTCCCCTTGAGAAGTTAACAGTTGGTATATTAGCCAAAGGAGAAAACAAGTAGTGTGTATATTATATCCTCTTGAGTGCTCTGCATTTAAGAACTAAATTATAATACATTTAAATTTTAGTTCTCAAAATTGTATGAATATCAAACAAGAATAGAGAGAATAGCAGAATTACAACACCAAATATCAAATAAAGCATTACAGTTATATAATGAATATATCAACAAAGTTGAAATTCTCAAAGAATTAAAATATATAAATCCGAGGAATGAAATAAGTTAGTAATAATTGTTAGTTAACAATCATTATTTATGGTTATGCAAATGTATAATGCTTTAAGTATTCTAATTTCAGCTACTCAAAAAGGGAATGTAGCAGCAACTATGGGATCTCATGAACTTTTAGTAACTGAACTACTATTATGTAATATGTTTGAAGAAATGAAACCAGAAGAAATTGCTGCTGTTCTTTCATGTTTAGTTTGTGAATCTAAGTCAAATATTGATTTGGAACAAATTAAAGAACCAAATTTAATAAATGTATATATTAAGGGCATACAAATATTTCATATTGCTTAAACATTAAACTATTATAATTTTTTTTAGGGAATGAATCTAATAAAACAAAAACATGATTACATTCAGTTGGTTGAATCAAATTATTTAAGCAACTATGAACGTGTTAATCTGAACTTCAATTTAGTAAAAGTACTGTATTTGTGGGCTCAAGAAAAGGTAAATTTACCAATAAAAAATAATAACGTTGATGAGTTTAACACTTTTTTATTTTTGCATTTCCTTAGCCTTTTTCAGAAATAATGGAAATAACAGATATTCAAGAAGGAATCATAGTCAGATGTATAGTACAATTAAATGAAATTTTGACTGTCATTAAAAATGCAGCAAAAATGATTGGTACTAACAAAATAAGTGAAAAAATGCAAGAAGTACTAGACAAAATCAAAAGAAATATTGTATTCACTCCCTCTTTGTACATGGAATGATTTTTAAATTATTTATTTAATAACAAATGTAATAATGTCCTATAGTTATTATAATATTATTCAAGTTGACAATAAATATAAATTCTTAATTAATATTATGAAGTACCTATTTTATTTACATAATATTAGGAAGAAATCTAAAATATTTACAAGGATTATAATTTAATGTTAAAATTATATTCATTTTCATTCTTAACAATATGAATGCTTTAGTAGAGTGAAAGTACCGATGTCAATAAATACATACAAGTTTAATTCTTATTTTAGTAGAATTCAAAACGGACTACTGACTATGAATTTTAAAAATGTATGTTTATTTTTGGTTAAGGGTGTCGGAGTCAAAGTCAGGGATTTTAGTACAACATGCTTACAGAAAAACTCACACCCTGCCCTGTATAATATACTGATTTCATTAATTTTTTTCTTATTTAAAAATAAGAGAACATTTTGCAAAAGCTTAAATATGCATTTCTCTACCCCTAATTTAAATAAAATAAAATGTTGGACTTTAATACATATAAGCAATGAAAACATATGAACATGTCTCTATCTGTGGTTGGTATCTTGCTTGAGATCAGTGCGTCCTTCAAAGATAACACAATCACACACCGTCTTTGTTATTATTACTCTGGCTTGTTTTGATGATATTTATCGTAGAAGGACTTATACAAAATATATATTATGCGCAAAACAAATAATAATAGTCTGCTATATTGCAGGCTGTGCGCCCATACCATTGAGTATGAATGAAAAATAAAAAATAATATACGTCTTCTACCTGCGGTCTTATATGCAACCGTGCTTCTACCACAGAATATGACGTGAAATCGTAATTTGTAATCACTAAATTATAATCAGTAATCAGTCATCAGTCATCAGTGGAATCGACTACGTTGTAGTCGCACGTTACTGGTTCACTGTTCATTGTTTGTGCGTTTGTCGTTGTGTTTCCGCCAGTGTCCCAACTTTCAGACCATCTTTGCGAACCGTACTACAGAGTTATGAAAATAATGAAAAGCCATCCATCGACGGTCTACACGCATCTTAGAAACTTAAAGGTGAGTCACTGCATTTTCTTTCAAGTTTGTTTCTCGACGCACCTGAAGTTGCTGTCTGTCTGCGTATTGGCCTTATTCCACACCGTGTATCAAGGCCAAATAACAATAATAATTATTATTATTGTATCGCGTCCAAATCCCGTGTAATTATTATGAACAACTAGTACCTAGTTGGTACGCAATGTTTCATTTTTATTATTATTATTTAATTGAAGGGTTAATCAGATCTTTTAAATAATGTTTTGGTACGTTTTTTCCTCAGTGGAATTGTGTCATAGCCAAAGCGTATTCTTAACCAGAATCTGTTATCCAGTAACGGAGTTCAATAACCAGCACCTACGTCTTCTAGTCAACCAATTCCTACCATCAACATGAGTTCAGCAGATCGTTCAATATCATCTGGGTTCCCAATTCCTCAGTGGATGAAATCTAAAATAAACGATCGGTAAGTTATTTTGTGTATTAATAACGTAATATTGGCAATCAGGAATCAGGATGTACACAAAAAGTTGTATTATTAAACCTGAAAAGAGTTAACTAATTATAATAGTAACTATTTTTGAAATAAATGCAGTTTAGTACACACTCGTCGAGTTAAGAATGATGGTGCAATCAGAATTTGTTGCTCAGACTTTGTTTCAAAGTTAAAACCTAATGAATTTTAAAGATTTTGCATATGCACTACACATGACACACAGCTCATTATTTCATGAATTTTTAATTTCTTTTTTTACACATCCCATGTTTTTGATGGAGCTGAGTTAGATTTGCTGAGTTTGATGGAGCGTTCAGATTTTGGCCACCGTACTTACTTTTATGGTGGAACAACAAAATGTTGAGTGTGAATAACAAAACCTTCCTACTGAAAGAACTGTAAGACCTCGAGTTACCTACTATTTGTTTTACCCTAACTTTCCCTCCACACAGGTTAACCCTAGCCCCAATCAAGATCTATCTTTCTGACTGGAGCTGGTATGTATGTACATTCTAATAATACCTATAATAATATATTTATTTAACCCTCTCCTTACTATCTAATCTTCAAATCATATCTTGAAGACCATTACTTCACAGTAGGGTATGAAATTTCGACTCTAGCTCCCACAGCAGCAGGCTCGGTAGTAGGAGTCCTCCAATTTTTCCTTAATTTCTAAAATATGAACTCTGAAAGCACCATTGTTTTAATCTCTAAAATAAATTTCAAAAACATAAACTTTTAATATTTTTGGCCTTGGATACCTAATTTTTTGATAAATCCAAAATTTGGCAGTTTTTTCTTAAGGTTAATAACTTCAAAAAAGTTAACTTCAAAACATACTCGACAAAAGCTGATTGTACCATCGATCTGAACTCAATGTTAGTTGAAACTCAAGTTTTGATGAAACAATTTTAAATGGCGAGGGTGAATTAAACTGCATTTGTTCCCTATTTTTTCTGTTTCAATTAAATAGGTTTGTATACTGCTAAATTGTAAAGTAAATAAAAGTGGTAAAAGGACCATCACATAAATAGTTGTGTCACCATGTGCATGATTTATTTTGAAAACATTTATTCATTATTTTATAATTTCCTTCAGCTACCTATTATAAAACAAATTAAGATTATAAAATTAATAGAAATTGACTAAATCACATTTATTGATAAGTAAAATTAATGATAGTGAAACTTAAATAATTCATATTTATATGTCTCAAGTACTTTTTATATTGTTTGTGATTCAAAATTAAAAACCCACTGACCATTTATAAAGATGAATCCTTATTGTCCAGTCATTATGGCAACTAAAAACCCGACTTTAAACAAGTGAATAGTGTCTACATGTATTTTCTAACCAGAATACTAACAATGACAGTAACCTGGATTTTCTGTTCTAAAACAACTGTATTCCCTTGTTGATCTTTAAATTTACTTATATTTAACATGATATACTATGGTGCAAGGTATTTTCACACTGTCACATTGTACACATTATATAATATACCTCGAATAAAGCAATATCAAAGATGAGCAATCGTTAATATTTAATAAATTATGTTATGTTATTTAAAAATTATATTTTATCTCAATTAGTGTACGTATTGGTTATTAATAACTATCATCTACAATAAGAACATTTATTCATAATATATACTTAAATATCAAGATTTAGGTGGGTATATTGAATAAAATAATGTTTATTTTCATTGTTAAAAATAAAAAAGTTATATGATGTATGAAACTTAGTCCAAGAAATTCAATTCTTAAGTATAAATATAAACTATAAAATTCTTAATATTTAAACCTTAAGAATTAAATTTTAAAATTTTAACCAACTAGAAGTACTAGGTTATAAGTATTAATAATATACTAATAAGCAGTATTAAATTTTGTTTTGTTATCTAATTCCCTGAATTTTGCATATGAAAATATTATATTATGTAACAATAATTAAATAATAAATTCCTTCCTTAGATAACTGTGCGGACGTCATATTACATGTTTATAATAATAATAATAATAATAACAATAACACTACCTACTTCATATATTTTTAATTTTTTCTATCTGTTAATACTTTATTTTCATGTTCACCATACATTGATTGAAGCTATTGAATATTTTGCTATTTAAGTATAATATGTATTTTTTATATTCAGCTAGTTGTGGCACACACCATATGGTGACGGGGTTTAAAGTGTCAAAACCCTCCACCCAAAATAATTTTGATTTTATTGTTCAAACGTTCAATAAATACATTGGGGCTCATTTCAATAATTTTTCGGAGAATTCCAATGTTTTAACCTTTCCCTTTGCCAAACATTGTCTTAGTTATATGTTCACCAGTACATAATATACTTTACTATGACTTGAAATCTTTAATATGTAAAGGTAACTGTAAAAGCAAAATACATTACAATGCAATATTGCAATAATCCAACATTTCATACTTTCTTATTATATACAAATACTTAATGATCTTCAGATTTAATAATGCTAGAGGTTATGGTTAAGACTTAAGACTGTTAAAAAACCTATGGACATCAGAGGTTTGTACTCTATTCAAGTTAAGAACCGTATTCTGCAGTTGACATAAGGTCAGAGGTGTCCCATTCGTAAATAGATAGTTGACTCATGGAGGGGGGATAGTGTTCTTAATTACCATTAAACTTGATTTATGACTCATTATTGATGGTGGTAATTTTTATACACATTTTTACTGTCCAATATTACTGCAGTTAGTCAAATAATAGAATGAAAATCAAATAGGTATAACTTATTGAAATAAAATACAAAACAAATAATTGATAGTTGGTGCAGTTTCAATGGAAAAATATGAATAATGATTTGTATACCTACATTATTTTTGTCTTGGTTAATATAGTATTTAAGTATAGATAATCAATCAATACCTATCATTTTTATTTTCCTAATACATTTAAATTGTCGAAATGTAATAAATGTAAATATAAATTAAATATTAAATAGTAGTTAATTAACTAATTAAATTAAAAGTATTGAATTATGGGATATATTTTTTTTTAAATACCTGTGATGAACAATTGTACACTATTGTGTTCATACAAAGTCATACTCTTTTTTTAAATTTAAGGGGAGAACCACTTTATTATTACTCTACCAAACATCTAAAGACTAATCCATTTTTATTTTTATACTGATATTTGTACGTACTGCATGCTACTTTTATGTTTCTCATACTTAGTTATTAGTGCCTAATGCCTAACCATTATCTTATGTATAACATAATTTATTTTATTTTAAAACTTACTGGTGTATTTATATTGCACTACTACTATTAACTAATAATTGGAACACAACAAAACTATATGTATCTGATACATTAACCTTTAACTAATCATTGACTGTACACTTTTCAAAATGTTTAGATACTATGACTTGTGCAATAATTTGTAGTTTGTAGTAAGATATTATTATTTTTATTTAACATTGATCCTCTGATAGGTAAAATTTTCTCATGGATGGTAGGCAAATAAAAAAGATTATGTCAAGTGTAAAGAATACAATATTTTTATTTTTTCCTTTTATTCCACAATCATAGACTTGAACATAAACTTTTCCGGCTTCTTGAATTAGTTTATAATATTAAGTTATATATCTAATATCTACTAAATAACCATGTTTAACTTTGCATGAATGCACAATGCGTGACTAAAATTGAAAATACTTAAAGACTAATTACAATAGCACATGTATATGCATAAGAATACATGATCGACATAAAATCCTATGTTATGAAAAGTATGATTTTTCAAGTACTCATTCGTGACTGATTATTAAAATTTATTTTATTTACAATCTCTTCAGATACTATTAGTATTTTATTAATTTTGAAGTGAGTTATTGAGTAGACTACTTGATATAATTACATTTAACTGATAATTTGTTTAATATAAATTTATATTTATAACATTTATGTTTCATTTAGGTATGACCTAGACCAGCCATCATTTTCTCCAGAAGAAACAGACGACAGCTTTTTTTTGGTTCGTTATTTGAAACCAGACTCAGTAAATCAAAAACGCAGTGATAACACTAAAAATAAACCAGCTGAAGAAAATTTAGCGGATAAAACAGTTCAACATTTAAAAAAAATGCCTCCTGCATTAATTGTTACAGAAACACCAGAATACAAGGGACATACGCTTGCTTGTCAACGCTTCATTACAAATACTTGTGCTGGTAAGTACTAAGTTATAACGTTTATTTTTAAAGAAAAATGTTGAATAAGCATTAATCAGTTATAACAGTTTTAAAGAATTTGAAATAATAATAACAATATGTTAATTTTTGCAAATAATTTTCCTTTTTTACACGGAATATATCATACGAAATATAATAGATTACCTACAATGAATAAAAAAAAAGATATATTAAGATAATAAGGGCTTATAAATACTTGCCACCCTTCGATAAGCTTGTGATGGAGAGTTATTGAGTTCACAAAAACACTACGTATAATATAAATAATAATTATGTATAGACGCCAAGTTTATACAATTTCAACTTCATTTAAATTTACAAGTTTTAAAAGAAATTTAAAATGTCTAAGTTATGAAAATCAAAAATGTATTAATTTTAAGAATCCTTCATAAATGTATAACAATAGGAGTAGAATTGTATGATATATAATATATTTTATGAATATAATTTTATTAAGTGTTAATATAATTAATGAATTTTTATATTAATAACTTTTTTGTGTCCAGTACAATATTCATGGTTAATGATAGGATATAATATCATATCTGTATTTATATAAATCTATGAAGATATTTTTTAAGTACAAAACTTTGATGTTATATACATTTAGTTCCTGATATATATATTCATTTTTTGTGTATTTTGGTTTATTTAGCAAGAATTTAATTAAGTGTTTTGTTTATTTTCAAGAATTTGTATGTGAGTCATATGCTTAACCCCGTACAATTATATTCTGTAATTTAAAATTGACCGAACAAGTGATATGTATGTTTGTCTTTTTATTTGTATATTAGTTAAATACGGTTAAATAGGTTATAAAGTAAATGCCCTAGTCCAGAGGTTCCCAAACTTCTTATTGTGCGACCCATTTTGAATTTTTTTTTAAATATAGCGACCCACAATATCAATGAATGACCTTTTTTTTTTTACCATACAACAGAAAATTAAACTATTTTATTACATTTTATGTAATTACGAAAAAAATGTATAATAAGTATAATATATAGTATTTGACACGGCCGCTGGTAAACTCGTAATTGTCATACTCACAGATAAGGATTGACGATAAAACTGAATTTGAACTTTGAACATCAACGAAAAGTAATAGATGATTATATTTTTGTATTATTTAAAAAAATAGTGCGACCCACCAAAAGTATAATCGCGACCCACTTTTGGGTCGCGACCCACAGTTTGGGAACCTCTGCCCTAGTCATTTTGATTTATGATCAAGGCTACCTATATCTAGAATTTTTACAATGACAAAGAAAAGAGAGCCCAATACAATTTTTTTAAATTTGACTAAATGTGTATGTCTTATGAATTTTCTTATTGGCTATGAACAAAAAAAAACTGTTTTTCATGGTTAAAAAGTTACTGGGGAGGTTCTCATCCAGACACAAGAATGACGTGCACCCTTCTATACAATTTATTTAAATTGAAAACAAAACATAGTTTTAAATTATCAGCAGGTTATATTTCATTTTTATTCTTACTATATAATTAAACCCAAAGAAATATTAAGAATGATTATTATTATTATGAGTGATTTCAGCAATACAACTAAGAACTTCTTGTTTATAATAATTTATTTTAACCAAACTCATGATATTTCATATAGAAGAGAAAGGGTTAGAGTTATAAAATATAAGGGCAGACCTAGATTGGTAATGATTTTAGAATACTACTAATTATTACTATCTAAGTCAGAGGTTCCCAAACTGTGGGTCGCGATTATACTTTTGGTGGGTCTCGCTATTTTTTTAAATAATAAAAAAATATAATCATCTATTGCTTTTTGTTGATGTTCAAAGTTCAAATTCAGTTTTATCGTCAATCCTTATCTGTGAGTGTGACAATTAGGAGTTTACCAGCGGCTGTGTCAAATACTATATATTATACTTATTATACTTTTTTTATTTAATAAAATAGTTTAATTTTCTGTTGTATGGTAAAAAAAAAAAAGGTCATTCATTGATATTGTGGGTCGCTATATTTTAAAATATTTTCAAAATGGGTCGTACAATAAAAAGTTTGGGAACCTCTGATCTAAGAAACTAAAGCAATAAGACATGTCAAAATTTAATAAGTGTTTGAAACTGTGTATTTAAATTTGTGGATAAATAGTTTTACAATTACTCATTAGTCATACCATTGTCAAGGTCAATGACAATATTATGAATAGTTTTTTTAAATTAAATGTTTCGTTGGTATCATACAGTTAAATATTATGTAATCTAATTGTTAGCTAATTAATGTGTTCTGTGTATTAGGTTCATACAAAACTAAATATTTTGTAATTCAAAATCAATGATAATAGTTATTTTGATTCAAAAATTGATACTCAACAAACATGGCAAATTTTACTTTCACAATAATATATATTCCTCTGTAATTTCTGAAATCAGAGCAAATTTCCATCTTAAAGTTAGTTTGATAAATTCTGTTTCTCTATAATGTTTTTTTTTTTTTAATCAGAATTAGAAATGTATTTTCATCAACAATCTATTTGATACAATTTGTATAAAATCAGACCATAATAATATTCTTAAGTGATACATTTCAAACAGCTATCCAAGTTTAATTAACTATAGGTAAAAGTTCAGTGTGATCTTATAAAAAAAAATTAGAAACATTTTTTGCATACAACTTTAATACAACACAGTATTGTGTCGGAGGTATATGCCTTACCAAACATTGTTAAATATTAGAGGTATAAAAACATTTATAACTCGCCTTCAAATTTAATTCTTTACAGTTTTGAGTATTTCAAGAATATTTATGAATTAGGTTATTTGTTTAATATTTAAAAGTTTCTTTCAAAGGAGTTGTAAAACAGTTATGTTTTGTTTTCCAGATTTCCACCATTCTTAATTATTCAAAATTCAAATATTGATCTAGTAGCAAAGAAGCTCATTTATGTTAAATATATATTTTTTTTTTTTTTGATTCATAAGTTTTTATTTGATCCGTTACATAAAAAAAGAACAATAAGAACAATTGATGGTAAATAATCTTTATATAAATAATTCTAATGTATGTGTGTATGTCACTAAACTCCTCCTAAACGGCTGGACAGATTTGAATGAATTTTTTTGTGATACCCTGGATAGTTTGGATTCACAATTAGAACTGATAGGTCCGACCCGTGGAGTTGCTCAAACTGGGATTTTAAGATTTAAGAAGGAAATGTTTGTTTACATATGGTTGCTATTGGTTATAGGAGAAATATGAATATATTTAGTAGAAATTAGTATTTTTTTTTTGTTTTGCTGGTTGCCTGCCTGCAGTGGTTCATCAGGCAGATCAGGTATAAGCCCGCATACAATTGGATTTTTGCACATTGCTGAGTTGCACTTATAGCCCGCTCATCAGCGTGTCCGCACATAATAAAAATAAAAATAAAACAAATTATATATACAAAGTACTCATCAAGGGGGGTCCGCAATACACAGCAGGTAGGCATAATATAGTTCTCGCATATTCACCATCGAGTATCATATAGAGTTGGCATTTTTAACGGGCAAGAAAAATCCACGGGATCAGCTAATATAAGATAAAATAAATTAAAATATAATAAAAATGAAGTTTAGACAGACTGCAGAAACCTCTCAGCGGTGGTACTTTGACGTATTAAAGTTTAAAGTTAAATAAGTATAAATATTATTATTTTTCGACGACAAATCCCAACTAAACTAAATATCCTAAGTTTTAACTAAAGTAGAAATGCATTTTTTATATGCCTACATTAGTAAAATGTAAGAATATAATGTTTTTATACTTATAATTGTTATTTAGTCCTGCATACTTTTCTATAAAAATTGTAGGTTATTACTTATTACTCTTTATATTAACAAATATAAATCAAAAATATTTAGTCTGTACCGACCGTTGCTTCACTCGCCTAATCTCTCGATGACAAGGGAACTGCCCTTGTCTGCTCTTGTGACTGTGTTATATAAAAAGATATTAGTGTATCTAGCACATTTTTCTTCACTGGCCTGTGATCTATCTTGATAATTAATTGCTAATAATATTCCCACCTATATTAAATTATATTATATTATCTATACATGACACGTGTTAGTCATTAAAAAATTAATACAGTTTGAAAATGTGCCATGTTGTAAAAATAATTTGAAAAACTATTTACTATTTAATATTTTATACTAAAAAATGGATTAAGTTTGTTTAAATGATTTGTTTTTATTGAACATTCTATTCAATAACATCAAACAGACAAAAACAAACATTTGCCTATTTTTTTATTTGTGTTATTAAGTGGGTGTCAGCTCACTGTTTGTTTTCTCTATCTGGCCCACATGCAATATAGACAAAACATATTTACACAAAATCATTTTTTAATTTTTTCAGTAATCAAAGAGTAATATCACCCATTACCAAAATTGATAGAGAATAATACTTTAGGGGGTATGACATTTTGATTTGTCTAAATATTGTCTTAAGACAATGTTTAAACATTATTTAAATTTACAAAAATCATTTTTCCTCTGAAAGTCGAATACAAAATCAAATAAGAATAAAATATAAAATCAATATATCAAACCCTCGAAATTATTATTCTCTATAATTTTTGTAATAGGTGGTTTGGTTTTACCATGAAATAACTCAAAAATGATTTTAAAAAAACGATTTTATGTGAACACCATTTATCTGTTGCTGCACTTGGGTCTGAAAGACTAAACAAATATTTGGTTGCTGACATCCTCTTAACATGCTTTTTTTTATGAAATTAATCTTATTAACAACATTATATAAGTTTATTAAATATTTTGAAACCAAGCATTTTTTAACATTATAAATTAAATTTGTTCAGTCTTACTAGGCCTAGTTTCAGTTATTGTACAAATAATTATTATTTATATTAATGAAAACAAACTTTTTTTGAGAAAATTTTTGTACACATTTAAAATATTTTAGAAATTAGAAATTTAACACAATTGAGATAGGGTGGTAATTTTAGATCAAAAATATGATTCCATAATATTGTTTTTCAATAAAAGCTAATAATTTTGGTAAGAAAAGATAACTGGTCAAGTTTACAGTCTCCCTATTTGTTTTAATACTAATTATAAAATAACTTGAAATGTATAAGAAAAAGGTTAGTTTACAGTTATTAAGTATAATTATCGCATACACTACCTATATTGGCGTATTTTTAAATTACCGATTAATTACACATTATTCAATCATATTTTAGTTTGAAACGTAGTTTTTTGTATCAATTAAAATTTCATGTAGGTTTAAGATTACTAATTGACTTGCATTATGTAACTAATCAAACGATACACTTTAAATGATTAATAGCCCACACTGTCTAAATATAATAAAATATGGCACTTGACAATTATATTTCCTACTGCGTAAATATGACCTGACCTGTGAACGTGTGAACAGACATGATATGTTAATACTTCAGAAAATTACTATTTAACATAATTTGTTTCCTCTTTTATTGTAATTTATTATAGTTATTGAAAATACAGACAGTTACTCGTTTATTTAAATTCAGCTATTTTTATGTTAAAACATTGTTAGTTGAACAATTATAATTTCAAAACACTTATTTTTTTTTTAATCAAAATATAATGTATAACAAACAGAAGAGAATTTGAAAACAAGTCGGTCAAAACCTTGTAATAAAACTGGGTTTAACCATCCTCAGTTTTTATTTAGGACTCAAGAGCATACTGGCATACCTAATGTTTTTAAGGCCCGCAGGCAAGATTGTTTAGGAAACATTTTATGAAACACATTATATAATAATTAAATTATTCATATAAAAACTAGCCTTACATATTGTACCAAATGTATAGTCTTGTTAAACTAAGTCGGCATTGAACTATAAATAAAAATCGTAAAAATTATGTAAATGAACTATTAAGTAATTGATAATATCATATACGTCATATAATTTGCAAATAAAAGGTATTGATTTTAAATTATTATCAAATCTGTGCACCTTCCCCATAAAATTAACTATTTTACTCACATATTACTATACCTACATCAACCATTATTAATGAAACATGTGATTATCTTTTATCTATTATTAAACAATATAATTCCTTGAAAGTTGAAATTAAATCAGAAAATAAACATTACAATAGAAAATATATTCATTACACTTTATTTAATTTATTGATTAGATGATAACTACTTCCATAGATTAATACTTAAGTGTAAATATATATTGGGAAATCATCTACCATTGATAGTAATAATAATGCATTAATAGTTAAACATGGGGTCAAATACTACAGCTTTAGTCTTTACCATTATAATTTATGACACATAAAAAACTTTCCTTATTGAAAATACGTCGTACAAATAAAAGTTAACTAATCGTTGTACACATTTTACAGATGCAGTAGCAGCTGCAAGTTTGGGTGAAAATATAACTGACCCTCCAAAATCATTAGGGATTGATGATGGTTTTAAAAGTGGAGCTTCTGAATGTGGTAAATCTATTGTGGCAATGGCGCATCAAATGGTGTCTGGACGGAGAGCATATCAAGGTCGTTCTTCAGGTCCTCAAGATATTCTTGTCGTTGGACCGTCGCCATCAATGTTAGCTAAACGGCGAAACAGCAAATCGCTCCCGGCAAGTCCTATAAGTTCACCACCTGGATCACCTCGAATGATTCGTAAAAATCCATATTTCACAGCACCCTTTCAAGAAGAATCTTCTGGTGATAAACAAGGCTCATCGTGGATATTATCAAACTTATTTTCACACAGAGGTGATTCACAAGAAGAATTATCTGATAAAGAATACAAGCGATTCCCTAAACCTTTGTCTTCCAGCAATTTATCCATAAAACCCAAACCTTCAGAACTAAGAGAGATGAATTTCTGGACACCTACATCAATGTAATCATTAAGGCTCAACTAAAAAAAATACTCTATTTCTAAAGATTTTCTGCACGTTTGGTTATAATATTAATTTGTGTTGTTGGAATTATTTTATATGTATCCTTATTTTTCCTTATAATCTCCTTAACTTAGTACCTGTAAAAATCATTTTTTATTTTAAGTTTTCATTGTTATTCTTTTTCTTTTTTTGTTTAATTTTTTAATATTAAGTACCAAAATAGTTATGATATGAAGACAATACATTGTTTAGTGCGCATCTTTTATACATATAAGATATAACTAATCTTTATATTTTAATATCAATAATTTCTATTCAGACAATTTTTTTGTTCGTTAATCACTTCCAAAAGTTTGTATATACTTTTTGTTTTACTCAAGTATTATTATAAGCCAATCGCATATAATTTTATTTCTTAAAATTAAATTAATGCAAAAATATATATCATTGACATTGTCATCTACTCTAAATACTGTCAATAGTTATGCAAATTGTCATGACGGCATAAATATTGCTTGTTGTTAAGTCAATTAAAAATGTGTTGTGGTGTCTTTATACTATTAGACAAGGAGTGATTGCACAATGAACTTGGAACATAGAGGGCGCTTTTAGGTGACTGAGTGACTCGATTTATGGTTATGCAGTAAAATATATGGATATATATATATATAGATAATTGTATTTTGTCGTCAAGACGGTCTGCACATCACAGCAAGATATTTGCACGCTGCTCAGAATACTGTTGTTGTACACTAATCTTATATATTAATATAAGGTAGAGAGCCTTAATAATAAGGCTTAATTATTATTAAGGCTCTCTAATATAAGGCCTAGGGCAATAGCACAGATTAAATAAAAAATGTATTTAATCTGGGGCAACAGTGGAAACGACATTAAGTAGTGGTAATCTATTAAATTTATTTTGAAATTAAATTACATTGCATATCACACTGTTGATTTGTATTTAAGAATAAAAAATATCAATGATAACAATTAATAAACAAATAATTGATGGTTTGAATGAAAGGGCTATATTTTAATATCGAAAGAACTAACTACTATTATCCAAGGTCATTGTCATTCTCTAACTATAGTACCTACATACATGTATTATTTGTTATTTATCATAATGAAAAGAAAATGGTTTTTAATCTATTCAACCAATTTAGGTATTTTAAATTGTTAGTCCAATACCCCCTCCCCACAATAAAAGAAACAGAGTTACACCGAATACTGATGGATGGTGATTTCCTAATTTCTGAATATTAATTTAAAAAAAAAATTGAGGAAGTAACAATTACATTTTTTTTTATTCAATACTTTATTGAATAATCTGTTCATAAATATATTTGACAATAGCTAATAAGTGAATGTGATGATGAATAAAGAAACTTCTAATATAGAAATTTAATGTAAAATAATCTGATGGATCAAGGTCAATTGTTTGTTTAATTGGTTTGATAAATGATACCTACTGACTATTCTAATTATTCGAATTCCTCATAAAAAATTGAAAAACGTTGGTTACATTAATAATATTGTTCACTCTCAATTTTGCACCTTTTATCATCAAAATAATTTAATACGTCATGTCGATGTATGATGATATTATAGCAATTGCAAACAATATATATATATATATATATATATGAATATAATACTATACAATAAAATAAATTTAATATTGTAACAATATTAAATTTGCATTACACCAAACAATATTATTATACAACAATAATATTATTGTTTGGTGTAATACAAACATTATTTACTTTCTAATATATTGTTTGTGACTTCGGCAACGCTCTGAGCGTACGTACCGGCCGTCGTTGCCAGCACTCAGATGGGTGACCACACGGGTTTTTAGCAACATTACAAACACATGTAACAACTCCACCAATATAAAAACCTACTAAACCTATACAAAGAACTCTACCGAACCACCTCATACCCAATGCCTATGTTACAGCAGCCCGCAGGTCACCCTAAAAAAAATATATATTGTTTATTATTTATTTAAAATAAATAAATATTGTATTATTTTACATTACATTAACGATTAGTGATTAGTTATACAAGTATACAACTACAGACTACAGTACCTAATTATTTTAGCCAGGGACATGGCAATATGTGTGTTATCAACTTCCTAATAGTTTTTGTTCAGGGATAAAGTCCGAAAAGGTTCAACGTGCATATAATTATAAATTAGTAATTACTGCATACATTATATCATAGAACTTATTTCAAAGTTCAAACGGTTTTATACTAAAACATAATCAATTTTCAATTTTGCAACAACAATCGAAAGAAAGTGAATAAGCTAATAAATAATAAAGTATAAACTCAAGACGACCACACATAAAATCAGAAAATAACTCTAATGTGTAGGTATGTGTTACATCCGCTCCCACGACAATTTAAATTGTTTTTAATTTCAATGAGTACATACTTACACAGCACACTTATAAAAAAAGAAACCGTTCTAAAAAAAATTTTGCGTTGTTGTTTTCATAATATTGTTTGAAACGCGATCACGTGGACGTGGCATGAAAAAAGATTTATTTTTACACGCAAATTAACAATGTAAAGATACAGACATTTCCACTAAAAATAGATTTCCTACGTATTACACGTGCTACTTTGAATTTAATGAATATATTAAAATAATAATAATAGTGTAATATATATATACGCATTTTGTTAGAAACATGTAGGAGTACAGAACCAAATGCAAAAATACTGAGACTTGGAATTTGCGCATTACTTAGCAAACAATTTTTCATGTGACTTCAAAATTACGAATCTACATAAACACACGGAGGCCAATGGACTATAATAATAATAATATATTTCAAATAAGTTTGAATTAAATGTGGAGAGTAAAATATTAACATCGTATCTTTCAAACTGCAATTAGGTACTCAATACATATTAAGTGTAATTTGAGCCTTGATGTGGGGAACCGGGGTCTAAGGTTGCTAGTCTCTGGCCCCAACTATATCATTGCCATAGTTAATTATCCCGGTGCGGGATAATAAAGGATAATTTGTGGACTAACGAATTTCTAGATTATCGCATAATATTATTATATATAATGTATTTAAATTGACAAGTATTTTTTTCTTCAACGTCACTAAAACCAGGCCGGGAGGCCTATAAGACCCTTTAGAAAATCGCTGTCCCAAATTGGTGTGAAAAAAACGCACGGTGATGTTTGCACCATTTGTTTCCTTCACAAGCTTAAGCTTTTGGAGACATCTTTAAAATGCCCATATAAAGGATGATTTGCCGGAAGATAATAATATATTCGGGCAGATCAGCCTTCAGACTAAACTAATAGTTCATAAAGCCGGAAGGTAACTCCCAAATTCTCACCACAGAAAAACCGCAGTTGCTTGATTTTTTCTTGTCCGTTTCGACAAAACGTATAAAAATAATAACAAAACTGATCAAAACTTGGCCTGTGAGCATGAATGTGTATGGTTGACATTGTGTGAGGGTTTCGGTTTACCTTCCAGCCAAAACACGCCTTTTAGGCATTAATTATAATATCTAATATTTAAACATGTATAATAATAATAAACAACAGATACATAAAGATATATTTAATTTAATTTTGTTTATTGTCATTAGGGGAAAGCAAGTAGAAACTGTTTATTAATCAAAAAGTACAAATATAGTATGCGGAAAAAGAACAGAATTACAGAAGTAAAACAATGAGAATATTTTTTAAATTAAAAAATGTTTTGAACCTTCATTTCTTAAGATATGAATTTAAATACTTACTTCCACACCAATTCAATATTGAATTCCCAGATTATATACCTACTATCTTTTTTTTTTTAAGTTACAATTTGTCATAGAATTACATAAAGTAAAAATGTATTAAAAAATAGTCCAAACAATTAACGGTAGAAATTATTTATCAGCCTCAAATCATATTAAGATATTTAAAGTCTTCACAATTATTTCAGTATATTGAATGTTTAATTAATACAGCACAACTCGCTTTACAAAGGATTTCAATATTTCTTCAACTCTAAGTAGAAAGCCCATTTTGTTTTATAAGATGTTCTATTATATCATGGACTCTGAACTCAGTGATTGTACAGTTAAGCACAGTGCAGGACAGCAATATCTGATAAGATTAATGATTTCAGTATTATATTATATAATCTTTATTCTTAAACGTTTGTATCGACTTATAATTTAATAGTTAACTAATATAAATAATTAAACCAAAATAACAAAAACAACAAAGAAATATTTTTTGTTATTATTAAATGAAAAAATAATAATATTTTCCAGTATTTTTCAATAGCTCACTTAAAATTGAAAACAATTACATTGGCAAGTATTAAAGTGCGTTTTAATCTCGTTTTAACATTTTAACAAAAAAAAAAAAACATAAAAACAGTACATTGCATAAAATACACGACAAAAAAATAAACTTAACACAATACAAATTAAAAACTGTTAAAAATAATAATCACATATTATAGTTTAGCTTTTGACAGTAATATTTTAATGTTTTTTTTTTTTAATTAATTAACACCTACATAACATTACCACAATCTTAGTAAGTATATTTAATATTATATCTCAATCAACTGTAGACATTTATCATAACTATAACATAATGAATAATTCTTGTTTAAGAATATATTGTTTAGCAAGTTTAAAAACAGCTAAAAAATGTAAAGTGGTACTGTTTATCACATACTGAACACAAACATGACACAAAATTTCATATTAATGCTAATCTATATCTTCAAAAATTTTAAAATTCTTATTTTTAATGAGCATCTTTAATTTTACAAGAGCTTTTAAACCTGCAAAACACTTTTGAGATAATTAATTTTACAAAACTATAATATAACTAACTTATCAACCTCAAGTACCAGATTTTAAAACATACATTAACTTTAAACAACTTTCAATAATACAAATATGGTTTTGATGATTTTTATTATAAAGCTGTTTAATAAAATAAATTCCCGGATATTTTAACGAAATAAATAAAATTTAAATTAACAATAGTTAAGGTATTTTTGTGTATAAAGTAAACATTTTTAACATGCCTTAAAAATAAATAATATTAAAAAAAAAAGTTGACCTATAATCTGGTACAAAAAAATAACTAATTTTGATGTTTGTTTTCCAATTACAACGAAAAGGTACATTCTGTAATATGTCGGAAGAAGCTTAATATGTTTATAAATACAATGCTAGGTGATATAAACATAATTGCGATACCCAATTTAATGGAATTTAATTTAACTTTCATAAAAAAGGTTTTTTTTATTCGTTAATATTTAATAAAATGAGCAAACCCGTGTTTTTATCACATTTCTCTGAGTAGGTAACTAGATTTTTCCAACAGAATCTATTAGTAACTTAACCCTTTTGAATTAAAAATATTTACTTAATAATACAGTATAAATTATATAAAACTAAATAAACATTTTAAAATGATTTTTATGGTTTAAGAGCAATAATACATTTAAAAAAATACAATACTAAAGCAGTGATCTTTAAATGTAAAATGATCACAGATATATATTTGTTAATTATGAATTTAAACTTAAAACCTAAATAGCATAATAAGTTAGACGTTTATAACTTATATAATAAAGCAGATTTTAAAAGAAATAAACATATCATGTACTATTAAATTATAAATCACTAAAATTGTTTGTAATTTCATAATTATCAATATTGAATTAATATTATTGTATAGCTCTTAGTTAGTTACGTTATAATTAAAATGGTAAATAATTAAATTATTTTAATAAATCCCAAATATCATTTTAATTAAGAAATATAATTACTTAATGTTGTAATCTACCTAAACATTTAACTCACCAAGTCATATTTTGATTTTAATTAATTAATTATTTCAGAGAATAAACATTTTATTGTTTTCCTGTTTTTTTCTCAATAAAAAATAAATTGAATCAAATAATCATTTTTTTCTTTTTTGTTAAGTTTTAACTAAATTAAGGAATATTAAATCGTAAAATTGACATTTATATAATTTTAGTTTTAAAGCTGAAAATTAACAATGGTAAATTATCTCACTGTTATTAAATAAGTGCTCTTTCAACGTAAAAAAATATAGTTTTGATTTTTTATAATCCACTTACAGCAGAGAAAATCACAATTTAAAGAATACAAAATTTGTCAAATTATTCAATCAATTCATAGTAACTTCTTTGTATTTATTATTTTTGGAGTAAAAGTAAGTGAATAATATAAACAACCTAGAATCTAGAAATAACTGGGTAAAATTGTAAGACATGTGTAAACTCAATATTGAATGTTATCACTTTGTTAAAAATACAGCGGGTTAATATTTTTGAAACTATTAGTTTACCTTTTTTAGTAACTGCATTTAGGTATGATATTTTAATATTTGTCAAAATTGTGTTAATTAAACAAAAATATATATGTATATATTTAATACCCCATTAAAAGTGTTGTCAGACATAACTAAAATATTTCATTCTTATATTTTCCAAAGAAATGGCAATTTAATAAAAGCAACAAATCATATTATTCAGTAATTATTAACGTTTCCATAATTATCTCTCGTAATTAGTTAATAAAATGATCAACATTGATCTAAAATTATTGAGCTTTCAAATTTAAAAAATATAACCATAATTTATAAAAAATATTTAAAAATGTAATTATTTAAATATTATGAATGTACATTAAATTGAGTTCTTTTTTATATTGTTTATAGGATTTAATATATAAATTTCTTTTCTTTATTTTTTAGATTATTTTTGTAAAAATGTATTAAATATTTTATCAACAATACAATTAATTTAATAGTAAGTTGTATTGAACAATACTGTAATGAAATGGTTTTACTCAATCAAATGTACACACATAAAATCATGCAGTTAAATTGTATGCCTTTTCTTAACAATAATAAACACATAATAATTAATAAGTAATGATAACCAAACATATTTACAACGGTAGTAAAAATATATGCTGCTCAAAAGAGGCAAAAAATATAATAAAAATAATAATAACAAATCAAAATTATTTCGATAAAACACATAACAGTTACATTTTATAAGGATAAATCAAGTCATTAAGAATTAAAGTATCAGTTATGATACTGTTAATATTGAACAAATTAACATACTTTCTGGGAAGTAGTAGGATTTTATAATTGACTGATAAATGTATAATCATTAATCAATAGTATTAAAAATAAAAACAACAGTTGCAATAATAACATTAATGACTCCTTTGGTGGTCAACTTAATCATAATAAGAGTATATTGGCGATCATCTTAAATAATATCTTAACTTAAAAACTCACATAAAGACTAGTTTAATTAATGGTACTTGATTTTTGGCAACTATAGCTCGTCCAAGCCACCCCGCCGTGCACCCAATTTGGTTTTCTCCAGAACTTTGTTCACAAATTCTGTAGTTTGCCCGGCTACTTTTAATCCTAAACAATTAAATAAGAATAAGAAAAACATTATTGATTGAGCATACTGACTTGAAATGTTTTAATGACAAGTAAAGAGTAGAGAAGTCAGTAATAATTAGAATAGTGACCTTTGACTTCTATGAGTGCTAATATTATTTTATTGTATAGGTATATTGGTATAACTTTTGGGATGTGCCTTTCCAGTAATGCTAATGACAAAATATATTTCAGTTGAAAAGTACCAAAGCACTCATCCACAAAGCTAAGCAATTCTTATTTATGTGTGCAACATTCTAGCGCCTCCCCACCTCAAAACCAGCACAAGTACCTTTTGACAAAACTCATTGAATTCCATGGGGGTGCTTCATTAGGAGATTAGCAACAGTGTTCACACATCAGTTGCCGCATGGTACGGGAATTGGACCTAACACAGCAGATTTAATTCTTTTGTGGGCTCAAAAGAGTTGTGTTTTTTAGAGGCCATCAATATAATAGTATATTATAACTAATATAAAATAAAAACCACTTACTGGTAGCATTTTTTGCAATTTTTTCACTGGCATTTGTTAATTCTTGACTTTCCTTTGGAAATGAGTCACTCGTTGTTCTAGTGACTAACATCTGTTTCACTTGAGCTATAGCATTGATCAAACGCCCTAAGAAAAATGAATTCAATTATAATTATAAATGCTGGATCTATCATACAATATTTTAAAGTTTTAAGTAACACTTTTAATTAATTAAATAGAAAAAATTACTATGTTCAGTTTCTAATCCAAAAAGTTTAATTTTGTTCGCTTCATGTTGAGCTTTTTTCTTCAACCGGCATGCTCTACAAATATAAAATTATCATATAAATTAAAATTAAATATTAATGAAACAAACTAAAAACATAAAACAATCAAATAAAATATTCTGTAACATTAAAAATTTTAATTAAAGAGTACATTCGTAAGACTCCAAATATTTTAAATTAAATAAATGTGTTCAGAGAAAATTCTAAATTTTAATCATAAGTATAATATATGAATTATAATTTATATATATATGTATAATAATATATCCTAATCCACTCAAATTTTGTGATACAAAAAACATAATGATGTAATCTAAAGCCAGTGCCACTATAGATTATTAATATAATTATCAGTTTTAAGAATTAAGATTAAATACATTTCTGAACAGAATTAATTATTTTTTAATTATATTAAAATACTTAAGATTTTCATACTATACACACAATAATTCAAATTTAAAGTCCATCACATACTGTGAAAATCTTGATACTGTGTTTATAAGAAGTTAGTATGAATAAGTTTTATTTGATGATATTTAAATATATTCAAATAATAAGTTATTTATTTATGATTTAAGTAAAATTTAATTAAAAACTTATTTTTTAAGAATAAAATATACCTGGATGCTAATTTGTTCTTTTCTTTACGTGTATTTGGTCTAACATTAAATGGCAACTCGCTGACTGGTGTCATTTCAGTTATACTTCTGTTCAATTTATCCAATTCTCTACCAATTGACTGTAATTTTTTGGGATTTGGTGTTAAATCATTACCATCGCCCTTCCTTGCTTTACCACTAGAAAATTTTAATAATTACTAATATTTAATTTAATTCATAAAAAATTGTCACAATTTACCTATGTTTAATTCCTTGTATTGAGCAATTTGGACTGAATACTGGATCCGTAACCTCATTTAAACAATGTGGATCCTCTAGTTTACATTTTAAAACTAATCTTTGACCTTTAGGACCCTTAGACTGAACATTGTACTGCCAAAAAAATCTATCCTTATGCGAAGATGATTTAGCAGATGTTCCACCACAATCACTATCCCCTGAGTCTATCAATTTAAAAATAATATGGCTAAAATGTTGTATTTGTTAGTATATAATTATATTTATTAAAATCCAACCATTATCAGATGAATAGTCTTCTTCTTGTTCTGTATCGTCATCAGAATCATCGATGGCTTCATCCAAAGAAAAATCATAAGCTTCTGGACTCAAAACACCTCCTTAAATAAATTTAAATAGATATTTTTTATAATTGCATGATTATTAAAGTTTATTCTAAGCCAACCAGTTGAAAGAGAGGAAGTAGAACCTGCTTCTACTAATGATCCAGTGGATAATAAATGTTGTCGAGGTTCTCTACGCTGCCATATTTGTTCAAGTCCAAGATGAGTAGGAGCTGATGATGAAAGATTTCCTCTTGATCTGCTAGCCAGCATAAATCCTGATCCCGGAACACTAGTTCCGAATATAGGAGGAGATAAACACTTCTGTGATTTTGTTTCTTTCTTCAAGAGTTCTTGAAGTGTTATTGAATTTGTTGGACCTGGAGAAAGTGATGAACGTGAACTGCAACTGTTTGGTGAAAGTTGAAAGCCAGACTTTGAAGAACTTGGTCTGTTAACAGGGCTAGTATTCACAACGTGATCTATCAAGTATGAACTCATTAATGGGACTGTATCAGGTATTTCAGATTTTACTGAATCAGGTGGTAATAATAGATCATCAAAATTGAGGTCTTCTAATAAAGATTCACCACCATTGGCATTTAATTCAGCTAATGTTGGTCCGTGAAGCAAATCGGATTGATCCACCTGCATTAGTAAATCAACAATCAATACATTTTTAGCCATATGTATTTAAAAATATTCATACATAATGGAGAAAATGAACAAAATATATTGAAATAAATTTCAATTTAGAATTTAAATTTAAGCAAGGTCTAATGAAAATTAATTGTTTGAAAAATAAAAATACTTGTAGAAATCGTTGATTAAGTTCTAATTAAAGCTAAACTGTTAAATATCAAATTAAGTTTCAAAACAATCTATAGGTTACTTAGTAATGTTTTAAAGTAGGTATATAATATTTTAAGATGGATGACAAGACATACTTTCTAAACGAGTGTTCTCCGTTACCGCACAAATTCAAAAAAACACACATATATTTGGTTTATATTACTTATTAAGCAACCCATTACTGCACGGTCCATATATGTTTTTTTCAATTTTCAAATGTTACCGAAATGTCAAATGAGTCCAAATATTACTATCAGTTATGTTTACAAAATTATAATCAACTTATCTACAAACATAATAGATGACTTTGTTTAGATAAAACATCCATATGTACATTTTGTACAATTTAAAATTAAAATTTTCTTAAAATATAATTTATGAATCATCACAATATGAAAAAAACATTTAATACAAATGATATACTATAATTTGAACAAAACTATATCTATTAATTTATTTATAGGTATGTGTAACCAAAATTAATTTATACAGGAGCTACGAGATTTAATGTGCTTGTGCGGTAATGGAAAGCATTAAAAACAAAATAAAAACGAATGTACATGAACAAAATATTGCCAAATATTATGAAAATATGAATATTATTATTTATATCTTAATATCCGTGTACTTTTAGATTATTGGTTAGTGCCATCAATCTTCAATTAAATTAGTCAATAAAAAAATATTAATTAATTAAACAAACATCAATAATGATAGAAAATGTATATTGATATTTTAAATATTTTTACTGATTTAGTCAAAAAAATTTTCTAATATTTTAATATTTACCTAGTTCTAATAAATATAGTTTGAGTTGGGCAGAGGTTGATGTAAGTAATAACACATTTTACTAAAAATCCCAGTTAGCCATGTGATATTTTTTTGCACATACCATGATTTAACTTCAATGCAAGGCACCAGATAAGAAGTCCTACTGTGTCATACTTGGACTTCATTAATTAATAATTATATATGTATATTTAAATTGTATACCTTATATTTGATTACAAATGTGGTCTACTATTAATAAGTTAATTATAAAAGAATCAACTTGGAGTGGTTTAATCAAATTCATAAGTACACATGGGTACATTTTATCCTTCTTTATGAAACTTTTTTCTCTGTAAAACATAGGTATATCTGAATAATAGAATGAATCAGTGTATAATTTATATTTTAATAATTGCAATGAATTTAATCATTCAAAAAATATAAATATTAGGTACATAATATGATAGGCAATTAGTGGTCAATAGACATAGAAATATAGAATATCATTAAAACAACAATTGTAGGATAATATGCTATCTAAATAATTTCCGCTGTGTCATGACACCTAACAACGGTCTGTAAGATAATGTAAGCCTGACCATGATTGGTAATGGAAGAAACGCTGACCACACTGGTGACACTCATCAACTTAAATTTATGAATCATTCACAGAGTGCAATTATATATTATTTTGGCATATAGTATATTATATATTTGATTTTGTGATGTCAACTTATAACTATATCAGTAAAATTTTTTAAAAAACTGTTTCATTATAGAAAAAAATGAGCGTAACCACAACTTTCAATAAGAATGATTTACAAAAAAATTTTAAAACTACAAGGGGGTCCTTGTATTACATTTTCAGGCCTTTGGCCAAGAAAAACAATTTTATAACAACAAATTTATAAAAAAAAACCTGAAAATTTGAATTTTGTTTAAAAATAATAATATTCAAGTAATAGCAAATAAATAAAAAAAAATTATTCATGCAAAGTGGATTTTTGTACTACAATTTTGAACATTTTGGCCGAGAAAAACCATTTTTACAACATGTATGCTATGATCATTTGTCACGGGTTATTTGATAATTTGACATATTGTAATAAGTTATTATTGCACAATTAAAGGGAATACGGTGAACTGTCCATATATGATGTAACTGAATGGCATAGGCATGTCCAGACCTCATTCGCAGTTCATGCACAACTGTGGAATATCCAGGGGAGAGAAAAACTACACCCCCCTCCCCCGCCAATAAAAAATTCTGTTAGGGTATTGGGATATAACCACCGAATTTAAAGATTTTAAATTAATTTTTTTAATTCAGATCAAATTTTGCAGGTCATGCCTGTGCATGACAGGCAAGACCCGTGGACAAGCCTATGCTGAATGGACTGTGTTCAGAATTTTCCTCTTATTCACTATATTATTGTTTAGGTAAAACGTTTTCACTAGTCATTATCAACCATATTTGAATAACCATCTAATTCAAGTTGGAATAGTTGAATATTTTCAACTATATGATGTATTGTTGTAGGTAATAAGCAAACCACAGGGCATAAACAGAATCAAGGGACAATGCAATAATACCTTTAGACATTTTAACAAGTAACCGCATTTACCGATGATTTTGTTTGTACTAATTATGCAAAAAAAAAAATATATGAGCAATGGTTTATTTGAAGCAATTGTGGGAAATTGGTAATAGAAAAGTAAGTATAAACTGAAAACATTTCACTTATAATTAAATATAATCATATTCAAATATTAAGGGTTTTTTAAGTATATAATGTTGATAAAAATTATTTTTCCGTCAAAAAATGTAATACTTTTTGTAGGTTCTTTTAAAATTTGTTGTAAACATTTATAAATATAAAAAGTTGTGGTAAATACAAAAAAAATTTTATATAATGGAATAGTTATTTCTTTAGTTATATAGTTACAACTTGATATCACAAAATCAAATAGATAATAAACTATATGCCAAAATAATATACAATTGTATTCTGTTAAATCATGTATGTAAATTGATGACACTGGTTGGTGTACCTTATCTTAAAACCATGGCCGGGCATACATTAACTTACGGACCATATTGGGTCATATATGATTGGGCATATACACTGAACACAGGAAATAATTTACATGCATTTATCCAAGCAATTAGTAATGACTAGAACTTGGATTTCAATGCATTTGCATCTCTTCTTTATTATTACCTTATATGATGCTTCCCCATGCTATAAATGAGTTTCAGGCGCATACTTTTCTCATAACAAATTGTTATCAGGGCATTTTTGTTGAACATATTTTACCTATTTTTGGTTATAACAAAAACAAAAAAAATTGCATTTCATTTAAGGAGAAAAATTAGTATTTTTTAGTTTGTGTACTACATTATTGTAATATACTATGTAATCTGGTTTAAAAATAACACGAGTCTCGGATATCCAGATTGTCACATTACACACAGAAGTCAATTTTATTAATTCAGCACAGGCCAATCCATTTAAAAAATAGATATTTCTTAAATAATAATGTTACTGAATTATGAACAAAAATCAAAAAATTAAATTATTTTTAGTGTTTTGGACATAAATGGATATTTTAGCATAAAAATCATAAAAATCCAAGCCCTAGTTATAACTAATAAAACTATACAGGATACATATACAAACTACCCATCTATATTCAAAAACAGTTGAAAATTCATACTTTAAATGAACAGAAGAGTATTATGCTCCATGAAAAACTCACAAATATTAAATATGACAGGTATATTGGCAAATGACATAATGACATTAATTATTAAAAAATTTGAATTGTTCATTAACCCAATTATAAGTGCATTAAATATTATATGAGTTCCACAACACTTATTTTAAAATTTCTACATACCTACAATTGTACATAAAAATGTTTTGATGATTGTTGATTTTCTTAATTATTTTCTATAGCTATAGGTACTTACCTATATTGTATGAAAATAAAGGACAAAATATATATTTTTTAAAAAGAATGGCAACTACTTGCCTACAATAATTTACCAATGTTACGAAACTGTTGAAAATTGTAGAAATGCTTACTCCTAACAACTAAGATAAGATAAAATTGAGGATAAAATTTAAAAAGACAGACAAATTTGGAACCATGTACAAGTATAAAGGATAGTCAAGCTATTTTAATTCTGAAGAAGATAATGATGGGACGATAAAAATAAAAAATAAACATAACACAAAGGTATAAATAAAATAATAATAATTGTCTTACCTGAAAAATGTCTTCATCCATTTTGATGAAAGACATTTCATCGGATCTTCCTATCCATCCAGTATCATTATTAGTGAAAAAATTTTGATCTGCATTATTAGCTACCATAGGATCTTGAATAAGATCATTAGTTGTATCAAACAATTCAAATCCATAATCTTGTAACGAATTAAGATCTCCATTCTTCCTTATTGGTATAGGTACTCCTAATGATGAACTTTCTGTAGGATAATCAGCTTTCAACACACGTTTAGTTTCCATTGTACCAAAAAAGTTTGTATACTCTTTGTTATTCATTTTTCCTTTTTTTAATGTAATACATACAAGTAATATTTTTTTTTTTAAGAATTAAAAAAAAAATCACTTTAACTTATTTAATTGTTGAGGAATTTTTTAATTAATTGAATTCTTATTTTTCTCAATTTTTATTCGCCTGAAAAAAAAAAAGGTACATCAAAACTAATATCAAGAAAATCAGAATTAGGTACACAAAGAAACTTATTATTTAAACAGTAGTTACTCAATATACTATAATATCATTCTTATGGTTAAAACCCCTGTTAAAACAGTTTTTTTTAAACTTGGTACCCTTATTTATATAATGGGTATGTTTGATTTTTTAACTATGAGTTTTGTTCAGGTTTTATAAAATTAATAAAGGCTCTATGACGGTATATATACATTATGACAAAAACAAATTTGATAAAAAATTTAAAAATGAATCTATCAGCATCACTTAAAAAAGATACCTATGTAATAATACTATAATAGTGATAAAAATTTCGAAAATAATTTGCTGTTCTAATTAAATTTCAGTGTAGAGGTGACACTTTAATTAAAGAGTAAGAAAATTGCATAGTGAACTCGTCAGACATTTAAACAATATTATCATAAGAAATATAAAACAATGCTCAAGTTAAAGGAATCCAATATAATTATACAGCTAAAACTAAAGTATTGATTGTTTTATAGGTATCTAGATCAGAAATAATTTTATTTTCAAATATCTAAAGAAAATACATATTTTATTATTATAAAATAACAAATACTTGTTATGAGTAAAAACCATAGTTATAAACAACTAGATAGTCTCCTTTTTATCATTGAAGTAGATCACTATTTCCCAAGCAGGCAATGTTTACAAAACAATATTATCACACTATATATTATTGTGTATAGTGTATACACTATGTACATGAATAAATGTAAACAGGGGCGTCATTTGGGGGGAGCAGGGTGTGCAAAGGCACCACTAACTTGAAAAATGTTAACAATTGGCCTGCCATTAATACTCCGATGCGCCGTCATAATTAACTTATACATTTTGCTTTCATGTATGTGTAAAATAAATAAAATATATATGGTTTTCAAATTTTTGTATATTTTGGTTTATCAGATCAGGTTTATTATGCCTTCTTTGCTTTTTTTTTAAATAATAGTGAAATGTCTTCAGCTGGTTGCTTTAATTGCTTATGACCTTTTAATTCTTTGGATTGCCAATTATTTAAAAGTTGCATTAGTCATTATAAGTTTTAATTAGAATTATAAAAGGGAAGGAACGAATATTTACATAGATTACCTACATTTATATATATAAATATATATTTTTTTAATGGCCTGGTGAAATGTAAAAGTTGGCCAACCTCAAAGTTTGTACACCCAGAAAAAAAACTGAAATGACGCCCCTGAATGTAAACATTGCCTGCTTCATAAATGGTAGCCGAGTCAACATCGGTCACAACTGTAGTATAAAGAAGGCCATTTCGTCCTGGTTATGACAGATTTATGGGAAGTTAACCACTAATACATAGTCAATGTACAAACCTTTAAGTATTTTAGGTAGGTTATTATTGGAAATTCCAGAGATTTCTAAAATATATAAATATATAAACATATAAACCAGCAATATGATGAGGAATACTTAAATAATAAATTGTTCTATAAATTAGAAACTACGCTATTATAAATAGGTATTGACATTGATAAGAAAAAATTTGGAACAAATATATCAAATCAAAAAGATTAATCCTTATCACTTGTTATTAGGTAGTACCTACATTGAAAATGTAACTGACAAAAAATTAATTTACTAGCCTATAACGTTCTATTTAAACAAAAATGTTTATGATGTATTTACAATCTGTAGAATAGAATGGTTTTAAAACTAACATGGACTTACAGGATAAAACTAGGTAGGTTTGGCTAAATTAAGAAGTGATTGAAAGAGACTCAGCCCCTGTCCCAAAATTAAAATAATTACTTTTCATATTCATTAATTGGCTTAGCTAAAACAAAAAATTTTAATTCAAAACAAGTAAGTATTTCAAAACATAATTTTTTGGCAAAATACCAAATTCTCCTACTTTGTCTCTAACTTGACCCTTCAAAATTACTTTGGGCATTAAATCAATTGAGTGAAGCTACACTATTTAAAAAAAGGTTATTCTCTGAACAAAAAAACACTACAATCACTAATAAAAGGACATATACCCATTTCACTAGCTATAAATCCTTGTTGCAGAACCAAAAGAATGTGTTATTGTGATATTTTGATTTAATATTTGTATCAAACCTTTAAATCCCAACCTAAGTAGCTCCTTTTAATGCAATATTCTGTCCTTTTCTCCTTTAGTGTGAACTTAAAATTAATTATCATGGATAATCTGAGTGTTAAAAGTTTTGTTTTTTAATTAGGTATAGATACCATTGTAATGTATTTGTTGATCTAAATGTCTAATTGGTAATATAAACTATATTTTTAAAGCTATAAGTTGTCTTTATCAATGATTGGTAAACATTATTGCTGAAAAGTCCATTGACCCAAAAACCATTTGTTGAATTTAAGTTGACAATTTAAGTATTAGTATAAATATAAAAACAATTATTTTTAGGTACTTAAAATAAACTATACTCTTGAATAGATTATTTTGTTTCTTTTAAAAATATTTTATAGGTGTAAATTATTAAATGCATGAGGAGAAAAATATTAATTCAAACAAATTAAACTTATTTAACTTAATCGAAAGTAATATATATAATGTTGTAAGGATATGTAAATCACTATTAATTGTCAGTGCAGGAATGTTAGAAAATCTCTGAGTTTCTTAGAGAATCTCATATTTGGAGTATGATAAGCAACTAGCAGACAACTTACAATACCAGATACTAATATAATTTTGTCCTCAAATATACTACACGGGAATAATTATGGCAATAATAATCCAGTCCAGCAGAATCAACCTAATTTTATTATTATTCATAACCTACATGCCTGCATTGAACTCTGTTTTTAAATATTTTAACCTCAAACTTTATTTATTTACAACAGGTACCTGTTTTTTAAGGTTTTTCAACAAACTAGGATTTTTTAATATTACTACTTGAGATTTCAAAAATATAAATTTAAATTATAAATAACAGGCTAAAATAATAATAATATATACTATTTCAAATCATTATTATGGGTTGGTTACCTACTTACCTAATATTAAGTTAGGTAAATAATTATTTAATGAATTGAGAATATATTTTTTAATATTTACCAATCATTATTAAAAGCAACTGTCATGTAACCTTAAGTATTCAAAAATAGCAAATAAAACAATGTTTAGGTACCTAAGTAGTATGTATCTATGACGATCAAAATATTTTGATTATTATAAATGATCAAAAAATGGAACAGCTTGAATTGATTTAAGTAACACAAACTCATATATTGGTATATTACATCATATTATTTATATAACTACAAGGAAAATATATCATAAAATTAGAGATTAAAAGGGTACCCAATTATTAAACATTTCAATAAACAGGTATGCATCAGTAATAAGGTTATAGTTCATGTACACAACTGTCTACTTGTCTGTTGGTATTCTCTCAAAGTGCATACCTCGCGGCGTAAAAATAAATAAATAATGTATTAGGATTATAGTCTAAAACACATTGTCGTTAACAATTGAACAGCTGTTTATAATTTATTCACCCACCGACCACAACAGAGCGTGAAATAGCGCAATTTATATGCCTATCCATACTAATCGGTAAAACACAAAATTCATTAATTAAACGTGTAATAAATTTCGGGCGAAATATCGTTGCGCGTTAAAAACTGTCGTCGTCGTCTTTGTAGTAGTTTTAAGGTACCCACAAAATGTGTCATTAGGATAAAGATGGTGTACGTACCAAATAATACCGCGGAGCCTGCACCTTCTTTGTAGGGTTCGGTTGGTCCACCATTCGCGAAAAAATTCTCATATCGAGCACCGCGCAACAAGTCGAGCAGGCGAAAATTATCGCCTATCATCGCGGACGTTTCGCACACGGGGTCCCGTCGATGTGCACTACCACTACCATCACCACCGTTACCACTCGTAACCCATAGGTCGTCGAGCGCGATTAATAAATTTTCGACAGCAGAGTCCGCCGAAAGAGTCGAAAGGCTATCCGATTTAAGGTTTAAACCAAACAAGGCACACACACACGCGCGACGATCCCGCGCCTTCTCACGCACGCACAGCAAACAAACACACAAGCACACACACGCACACGTAAATACCACACAGACGATGATAAAAAGCAGTTTATACTTTATACCATTACATACATAACATACATAACGTTTATATATATATATATATGTATATGTATATAAACGTATTATATGCACGTATACGCAACCACACGCGCCACCGTATTTACATATTTTACATAAACATTTAGGCCACGCCACGGGCTCGCGGACGTTACGCGTGCGTGTGCGTGCGCGAGTCGGGGCTATTGCGGGGTTATCAAGGACACGCGATTATGATAAGAGGCCACGAGGATGGATAATGATTAACACAGAACAATAATAATATTCTTTGTTTATATTTACCTTTTGTCGACGGGCAACGGACGACCACGTCCAGCAGCAGCGGGACCGCAACGGCGGCGGTGGCGACGGCGCACGACGCTCTGAGCGGTAGTGGGTCCTCCTTTGGCGACGGCAATGACGATTCGACGCGATGACGACTACAGGCGGACGACAAAGAAACGCGCGCGGCCATGACTTTCGACGGCGCGACGCGACGACGAGCAGGTGGCCCCCCCGCGGAATTTATAATCGGTCTCCGAATTCGATGTTGAACGTATCCCGGAGCCGAGTTAACTGCAGGCACTGCGTTTCGGGACGAAACAAAAATATCGAAAACGGCACACAGACACAGCTACCGACGGGCGACGATCACAAATGAAAATGAAATAATTATTATTGTTCGCGGCTAATGGCTATGCCCACTTGTTGGGCAAGGAGTATCGAATCGATGAAAACCATACGCGACGACGACCACTGTAATACTGTAATATTGTGTATTGCTCAATTACTGTATCAATGGTTAACGGTGGTGAACAAAACAAAAATATTACGCGATCGTCAACAATATTATTTTTATTATTATTACTAGAATATTCTGCGCGGGCTGAAGATTACGACGATAATAATTGTTCGTGGCGTGTGCGAGAAACCCGTTGGTCCGTATTTAGTGTTTACATCGGCAGTACACAGTAACTTGCTTACTAGCGCCACATTGGCCGTGAGTCGAAAGCAAAAATAATAATAATATTATCAATGTTAGGGCACTATAGATAAATATATGATTATATACAGTGCCTCAATAATGGGTGCTGTGTAGGGGGGAAAAAACGTTTTAAAAAAATAATAATAAACAAACATCTTGTTGGTATTTTTCGGACAAATGAAATCAAAGGTCACATGACGAAAACACGATCGATGGTGTCTGACTTGTTTACATACACGCCCAGCCAATGGCGAGCCATGTCTCGGCCCTCCCCCTCTACTATTGGTGCGGAATGTTTTCGATTTTCGAACCGATCGACGGACTAACCGCATGGGCATGGTATGCCTTAACATTATTATAATTATTAATATTTATTACTTTGCCTGACAAGTGGGTCGCGGGGATTACGGGTTTTTTTTCTTATCACTTATGAGTTATGGGAGACAGACAACTCACAGTTTTTTAGCTGAAATGTATTTTCTTATTTTTGCGAACAACCATCGTTGCCAACCGTACCATAATTTAGACCATTTGAGATTCGTACGATCAATTAAATAAATTACTACAATATAAATTTGTCATGGTATTATCGTACAGGAAAAATATACGATCGGATACCTATAGTTTTTATTATATATTTACAGAGTAAACTGGCAATAGCTGTGTATAGGAAACCGTTTTAAATGTATTGAGTTAATTTCTACCCACATATATATATATATTAGTTACTACTTGTAGTCAAATTTGAACACAAAATATTGACTTATATGGACTTCGAGTGCCCATTGACTGCAGCTGGTTTCTGATCTGTGGCATAACTACACCTTAGCCCTAGGTCCTAGATCTTATACCTTAGGCGGGCCACAAATAATTAGAGAATGGAAATTGGAAAGCGGAATAACATAGAGGGCGCAATTTGTTTACTCGTTTACTCAATATGTATGGAAGTGCAGAGAAGTAGGACCATATATACATAAATAGTTGATTTTGTCGTCAAAACAGACTACAGAAGTATATTTTTTCTACAAGACAGTCTACATAACGGCGAGAAGTTGTTACACGGCTCGTAATGCTATTGTTACATTACATACAGTTCTTGTCTAGCAGCATGATTTGAGATAAACTTTCAAGTTTCAAAGTATAAGTCAAAGCGTGGTCCTATCATAGATAATAAAGATATGGATAGGACATATTGGTCTTATCAGCGGTCTTCGAGGGGAACAATTGAGGACAAATAAAGTATACCTATATTGAGTATCGACTATCAATATAAAGGAGCCTCAATTGCCTTCCCCTCCGGGAACGCGGCCTCAAATGTATTTAACATAGGCGTGGCCTATCCATATCTTTATTATCTATGGGTCCTATGCACATAGATTAGATAATAGATCTCTTTATTATCTATGCCTATGTATGAAGATAAGAGATAGGGAACCACTAACCAAACTCCTGTCCCTATTATAGCCGTCCATTATAAAAGTGGACCGATAAAAAGCACACGGTTATTCTGTCACCAGGAGCGCGTCGTTCTATAGGAGTGTTACATTTTGTATTTTATTATTATACCATTTATACCTACTATATCATAATACAGTAGGAATTATATACGTTTTTCAAATTAAACGTAATTTATTATTCTTAACAAATATTTTATAGTTTGTCTAGGCTAAAATAAAACACCACAAAAAACTATTTTTTCAAACCTCTCAATTTAAAGAGTCAAAACAACCTTTTTAATCAAAATGATGTTAATGATAAAAACAAAAGTGGGAAAATTATTTAATTAGAACCCAAAATAATTTTATAAAAGAATAATAATATAATATATAATATTACACCATTTCGAAATAAAAATATTTATCAACCACAGGACGTCATAACAATTTAAATTTTAAAATATTTTTAAAAAATAATCATGGAACAGAAAGCTGCTTTTTCAATAACAAAATATCTACAATAATATTCCAAATTTTGGACAAAGTAAGACGCTTGTCAAAAACGTTTCATCTACTTATCAATTAGAACTCAAAAACTAACTTCTAGGTTAAACATTACTGATAAATGTTCATCTTTATTTTTCCAAAATATAACTGAATCTCCACATATTATAAAGTTAAATTACCTAATATTTAAATAACATTAGAATCCAAGTAATAATAGGCACAGGAACAAACATATGTTGAAATAGACGTACATTTATGTTCTCTAATGGTAAATAAAAAAAAATGTAATGACCTATTATATTAACAGGAGCAAACAATGGACCTCTAATTCTATTTATAGATCAATTTAAAATAAATAAAGAAAGAAGTTCTTGTGTATCTTTTCATAATAAAATATTTGGAAATATATAATTATACCAATATAATGCCAATATGGCTTTAAAATTAGAACTTTAACTTTGCATAAAGATAAAAAAATGTTTATTATTTTTTCATTTAATCGAAAGAGACACAATTATATACATTATTATTGAAAAATTTCGATTATCTATCTCCTTTAAGCAAATATTGTGTTGGAGATAGAAAGTTATTGTATACATGAAACAATTATTACAATTATACAATTTGAAAGTTACAGAGTATAGGTTCTAAGTACATATAATGTCAGGTAGCAAAATTAATAATGATATTAAAGTAATAAGTAATATAAACTATTAAACTCGTAAGCTTAACATTTTTAATTAGATATTCAATAGCTCACTGTATTTTTGCAAACTTAAAAATGAACAAAGGTTTGGCAGTACAAATAAAAACAAATTTGGATACACCTCGGCTCAACTAAACAAAAAAATGTTCTTAAGCTTACCTGTATAATATAGAAATATAATAACAGTCATGCAAAATTTAAAAATTATGAATTAATTACATGGTTATAAAATCACGATTCCCCCCTGTTATGTATGTAGGGAGATCAGCAGTTTTCCGAAAAATGATAAGGAGCTGACGACTGATAACAGTTCGAAAATCAAAAAGCGTTGCCAACCATTACATACAAAAGTCGGTATACATTTAAAATAGACATATAGTAATATTTATATTAAGTTAAATGTTATTAAGAACATTTTCTGTACTTTTCCGGATTACACTTGTTGAATAATTTTAATTTTGAACCATGTCTCTAGAACAAGCCATTTCTGTGGAATGTGGTATGTATTTAACAACTTTTTTTGATTGCTGAAATCCAAAAAAAAATTTTGTTATTTTTCTTTATAAAATAATTTATTCAAGTAGAGTAAAGTAGGTATATACACTGCACAATAGATATTACGATTAAAGTTCATTAAAATTGTTTTTTATAATTTAGGAAATTAGAAAAACGATGTCACTGTTGTATGTAATCCACATACTAATTGAAAAAAATAGATTAATCGTTTTTAATATTTTTTTTCACATTAACTTATAACTTATAGAGTTAATTTATGATTTGTTAACAGTTAACTTCTAACTTTTCGATTTTGTTTTCTCTTAAC